AAAAAAAAAAAAAAAAAAAAAAAAAAAAAAAAAAAAAAAAAAAAGAAAGAAAAAAAAATTCAATGAAGAACATCGCCATGGAACTTTTTATATACGATAAAGAAATTGTGGGTCTATCAGTAGGTTCAAAATCGGAACAAAAGTTTCGACTCAAGTGCTTATAAGGGATAGAACTGATAATCATTACATGTACACTCTCTTGTTCCCAGAGAACATTTGAGCTTACTCGCATGAGCTAACTCTTGATTGTAGTGACACTAAAGTTCAAAGCAATTGGGTATTTGGTAATAGTTGTATTTACATAGAAAAAAGGTTGCGAAATATGAAAAAAAAAAAAAAAAGAAAACTTTGGTACTTTTCCACAAAGTATAACATTGTGAGTGCTCGATTGGAGTATTCCATATCCAGAATGGGGCTTGAGAAGGTGAAGGGAGGGGAGAACGAAAAACAAGATATTAATTATGCTCTAATTTGTCGTGTTTCCGTTTATTGAAACCATTTCCCTGGAAAAAATTCATATCTATGGGATAATCTAGATTTCCTTGGAAAAATTTATATCTATGGCGGTAGCTACTAAGTGCTGCTTCACCATCTCGCTTCGCTCGATGGTGTCTTGCACCTACTGTAACAACTCTTTAACCTCATCTTTAGCAATCTCCTTGTCAAAATCAGGTCTTGGTTTCTCGTAACCATCCACAGTTCTTGCATAAGTGATACCTCCTAATCTACTCACTGGTTTCAACTTCAAAATATCTAAATTGTTGAGTTCTTTATTAATTACATCCTCTCTCACGTGGAAATTTACACCTTCGATAATACACAAGGTACCAGTGGCCCTTGTAGGATCCGATTTCGATTTCCACTCATGCGAAGCAATCAATTTTCCCTCAACAGAAAATGCCGATTCGGCTACATGTTGAGGTTTGACTTTTGTTGATTCCAATGGAGTTAAACCAGCTAGTTTCCATTCATCAACATCAATCGGACTATTTATTGCACAATAATTTGCTGCCTCGACAAACCATTCACTTATGATATTGATGGTCAATTCCTCGGTATCTAAGATATTTTTGCATGAATCTTTAGGATTGCCTCTGCCTCCCGAAAATCCAATAGTGAAAATTGGTGGATCGTGGTTGACAACAGTGAAGTAAGAAAATGGAGCCAAGTTGCGTACACCTTCTTTCGAAATCGTTGATACGAATCCAATTGGTCTGGGCACAACAGCGCTAATTAAAGTTTTGTAGTTGTCAATGGGATTTCTACCTTCACCATATGGATCAATTTCAATCTTTTTATGGTTTTTCCAACTAGAATCGTTAGCGCCTGATCCAATTTTCCAATCCTTATTTGGAATTTGCGTGTAAGTCCATTCTTTTTCAAAATCAAATTTTGGCCTTGAGTTTTCAACTTTATTGAAATCTGGATGTGGATTTCTTCTCACTTGGTTCTCCAACCCAAACCTTTTTGGCTCTTCGCTGTTTGTCATGTTTCTAATTGAAATTCTTACTAACCTACTTTGTTGAATTGAAACTTTTAATAACCTACTTTGTTGAATTGAAACTCTTACTAATCTACTTGGTTGAAAATGCTTGCAAAACGAAGTTCTGGAAGTTATCATAAAAGGAAAGAGAGAGAGATAGAGTGGGGAGGTTGGAAGCCTTAAGGAGGGAAGGAGTCACATTATATTTAATCGGAAGATGTAATAAATGTAAAAATAAAATTTAGTCGCTGAGCCAACGTATAACATCGGAATTGTGATGGAAAAAACAATACCCGAAAATGCACTGTAAAATGATGTAAGGTAGATTATTAGACTAGGAGCTAATTTGTTAAAAAAGAAAAAGAGAGAGAAAGGCTTTAAATTTAGTCGTGATATTATCTATCAAAAATCAGAAACCAACCAAAAGTTGGAGACCTATCTCACGGCAAATTGAGTGCAGATCAGCTGGGTTATGTTATTCTCACCTAGTTGTTTAGACGGCCTTTTGAATCTGAGAGAAAATTTGCGTTATTCTCAAACAAAAAAAACCAAAAAAAAAAAAAAAAAGGTATATAAATCAATAAGTATTAATTCTAGTTTAAGAAAGAAACACACAGCTTCAACTGTGTTCGAGTTAGAAGTAGTGATTATTTCTACAAGTAAAAAAAGTGTTGTGTTTTTGTTATTTTTACTCTACGGAAAAGCCTAATCAGTTCAGTGCTGAATAATTGTTGAACTAAATATACAGAATCGGAACTCGGACCATATATTTTATATCTCGATCCGATGAAAATTACTTACAGAGGTAAGAATTTTAGACCTTTGACAGTAAAGTCATTCAACAAAAAAAATAAAATAAGATATTAGGTCCTCAGCTATGTCTAGGGGAGAACATGTAGGCACATGGATACAAACACAACCCCTCTCTTGACCTATCGTCTACCTCATGTTTTTAAAAACATACGATTTAAAATTGGATTTGTAGTTGGAGTGGATATAGGATTTGAATTTTGATTGCAAAACAAAAAAAGTGCGATCTTACAAAGCTACTATAAACATATACAGCCGATATAGAAAACCAAAAAAAAACCAAAAAAAACAAAAGCAATTAGCTTTATTTGAAATTTTTCAACTACAATCGGTGCTTTCTGCCAATTGTAGTTGAGAAATTGTAAAGCCAATGCATAAAAAGATATAGCTGAATTGTGATAGGATCATATGATTTAAAGAGCTACGGTTTCTATGCTATACAATCTATCTATCAATAGAACCAACCGTAATCTCCACATTTGATTAAAAAAAAATAAATCTCTTAATTTTTTTTTTTTTTTTTCATTATGGGCATGATTTCGGAATTACATCAAATTACTAACGAAAAGAATGGCACAACGTTTTTTCATATATAAACTCACCCCATTCTATCTTCTTTTTAAGTAAACCTGACTATTTCTCTTACTTTCGCCTCTTCTTGCTCTCTATTCTTATTGAACTTTACAAAGCTAATAAACTCAATTACAATAATGCCTTCAAAAACCACACCAAAAGGTCCAAAGATCACCAATATGACTGATGAGACCATTACAGAGAATACCATTTTGGTCAACTCTCAACACAAAGACATGAGGTTGATGTTTCTTTTACAAAAGGCTGTTGAACATTTACACGATTTTGCTAGAGAAACAAGATTAACCACAGATGAATGGATGGCTGCTATTGAGTTTTTCACCGCTGTTGGCAAAATGTGTAGCGATATTCGTCAAGAGTTTATCTTATTATCGGATACTATGGGGTTGTCTGTTTTAGTTGATGCTATTTCACACCCCAAACCATCACACGTTACTGTTGGTACTTTGTTGGGTCCTTTCCACACCCACGATGCTGAAGAAAAACACCAAGGTGACTCAATTTGCTCTGAAGGTAAAGGTGAACCATTGTTAATTGAGGGTACATTGACCGATTCGACAGGAAAACCATTGGCTGATGCCTCTATTGATCTTTGGCATTGCGATGCTAATGGTCTTTATGATACTCAATATGAGCACAGAGAAGATCCAGATATGAGAGGTATCGTTAAAACCAAGGAGGATGGATCCTTTGTCATCAAATGCACTAGACCTGTTCCATATGCTATTCCTCACGATGGTCCAGTTGGTAAATTGTTACAAAAATTAAACAGACATCCATACAGACCAGCACATATCCATTTCATAATCAAAAAGGAAGGCTATGATGAATTGATTACCGCTTTATACCACAAGGGAGACCCATACGAAACTTCAGATGCAGTTTTTGGTGTAAAAACACCATTGCTTTTCACTTTGTCTAAAGTTGGTGAAGAAAAAGCTAAAAAGTACAATATGAAGCCCGACGACTGGTACTTGAAATGGGATTTCAGTATTGTTACCGAAGAAGAATCAAGAAATTTGGTTCTTGAGAATAATAAGAAGGCATTGGGAAAATCCGATGATAAGGTTGTTATAAACTCTGATGGTTTACCGGAATTTGCCCCATTAGATTGAGTGGTGTAGTAGTAAATGTATAGTGATGAAAATATATTATGTGACATGAAAACATTAACCTGAGAGAGTATAGAGAGTGAGAAAAAAAAAAAAATAAAAGAGCCGAGACTTTGATCGTAGATCAAAATGGAAGGGACAAACCGTTTCATGAAGCAAAAGGGTACTTCGTAGCATTTGCTTGCGTTCCCAGTCCTTGGAAATTACTTTTATCAGATTTGTATCTTTAGTACGGAAATACTAATTTTTATCTCTGGCTGGCTTAGACCAAAAGAAAAGAAAAAAAAAAAGAATTCGGCCCCCTTTCTCCACATTTTCTTCTTCCGGCCCAACCCGTGGAACTTACCCACATTACCGGAAATAAAGAAAAATGATAACGCGAAAGGAAAAAAGAAAACAAAAAAAAAAAACAAAAACAAAAAAAAAATAAAAAAGGAAAGGAAAACGAATTATAGCCATTTCCGAAACTGAAAAATTATTTATACACTATTTCCGAAAAATAAAGAATAGCCAAATTCATCTGTTCCTTTAAAGCGATTGATAATGTAACTGTATAAATAATTTGAATCTGCTTATTTTCCTCAAAGGTTGGCACCTTACTTTGTTTGATAGCACTTTGGGACCAAAAAAGAAGTAAAAATGAAGTCACCAACATTCACCACCAGATTTCTGAAGTTTCTGAAGTTTCTGAAGTTACCTCTATTGTACAGATGTCTTGCTACCAAGAGCAAAGTAGTCCAAACTACGGATGAGGCGCTTGCAGATGTGGGATCTAATATAACATTATTATCTGGTGGGTTCGGGCTCAGTGGTGTTCCCGACACTTTGATCAATGCCATGGTAAAAAAGCCAGAAATTACCAACATTGTAGCTGTTTCTAATAATGCTGGACTTGACGGACGAGGATTATCGCAATTATTGGTAACCGGTCAAATCACAAAGATGATCAGTAGTTACATAGGTAGTAATCGAACTTTTGAGAAATTGTACTTGACCGGTGGTATCGATTTGGAATTGACACCTCAGGGAAATTTGGCTGAACGTGTCAGAGCAGGTGCTGCTGGTATACCGGCATATTATTCACCAGTTGGTGTTGGAACTTGGCTAGAAGAGGGTAAATTACCCGTGAGATATGACAGTTCTGGAGAAAAGATTTTGAAACAAAGCAAACCCAGAGAAGTGAGAACTTTTGGTGGTAAGAATTACTTATTAGAAGAAGCAATTCAAGGAGATGTGGCACTTGTCAAGGCATATAAAGTTGATACATTGGGTAATTGTTGGTTCCGAGGTGCAGCCAATAATTTCAATTCGATAATGGGTAAGAATGCCAAATTGACCATTGTAGAAGCTGAACATATAGTTGAGCCAGGTGAGATTAAACCGGAGGATGTCCATTTGCCTGCTATATACGTTGATCGTATTATCCAGTCAACGACACCTAAGGATATTGAGATTTTCAAATATTCAGAGAGTGATGAGACATCATCATCATCATCACTGGAAAAAACTTTAAGTGCAAGTGAGTTGAAAAGATCCAAGATCATTCGTAGAGCAGCCCAAGAGTTTAAAGATGGATCATTTGTTAACTTGGGAATTGGTATGCCCACTTTAGCGCCAAACTATTTACCCAAGGATATACATGTTGTTTTACAATCTGAAAATGGTCTTTTAGGATTGGGTCCATATCCAAAAAAGGGCCAAGAAGACCCAGACTTGATTAATGCAGGAAAGGAAACAGTTACCCTTGAACCGGGTGCTTCATTATTTGGTTCGGAAGAATCGTTTGCTATGATTAGGAGCGGTAAGATTGATTTGACAATTTTAGGAGGTTTGCAAGTTGCTGCAAATGGAGATCTAGCAAACTGGGGATTACCTGGTAGGGTTAAAGGCATGGGCGGAGCAATGGATTTAGTAAGTAATCCTGCAAACACAAGAGTAGTTGTTGTTATGGAGCACGTGGATAAAAAGAATAGACCCAAGATTTTAGAGCAATGTCAGTTCCCATTGACTGGTCAAAGATGTGTTTCCAGAATCATTACCGATTTGGCCGTGTTTGATATTATTAACGAGAAACTAGTATTGATTGAAATTGATCCTGAGAGCAGTATTGAGGAGATTAGAGAGAAAACAGGAGCAAAATTCAATGTCTCACCGGAGTTAAAGACCATTAGTATTTAAAGAAACTGACAATTTACAAGAAAATCTAGTTTGCATGATAGTCTAGAGGTAAATCTAGTTTGCATGATAATCTAGAGGTAAATCTAGTTTGCATGATAATATAAAGGTAAATCTAGTTTGTAGGTATACTAGCAAAATCGGACCAGATATCTACATATATATACATTTTACTTTTTTTTTTTTGTTACCCTAATAAAGGAGATGGAGAATCCATACTGAATAGTATAACTCCGTCTTTTTTCCCCATTCTTGAACAGCCCACCCTTATCAAAGGCCAAACCTTGTTCTCCATTCAAAGGCCAAACCTTGTTTTCCATCAAAGGCCAAACCTTGTTCTCCATTCAAAGGCCAAACCTTGTTTTCCATCAAAGGCCAGACCTTGTTTTCCATCAAAGGCCAAACCTTGTTTTCCATCAAAGGCCAGACCTTGTTGTCCATTTCAAGAATGAAAGTACGTATATGCAAGTATTGAAAGGTGATGTATGATGGTCTTTTTTTTTTTTGTATCAACTGCGTAAAAATACCGCCTTGCCTAACTGAGATGGGCAGTGTAGATCAAATTACATTACAACTCTAGGGTGCTAAAGACGTGGGCGGACTTGTGTACAAAAGTATCCGAAACAGAGATGTTCAAATTACGGTAAACTCATGTATCTCTTCACTTGGTATGTATCGTTTGCTATTCAAAAGGTGGGGAGGGGGCAAGTTAAGAGGTGTAGTACGTAATTCAGAGAAATATGCAAAGCTTATTAATTAATGTTGATCTAACTATACTCAATACCTCCAAGAAAACAAATGGTATTTTTCCCCTTGATGAACAATACTGATTGCTGAGGCGCGAGATATGCAACTCAACTCAACTCAATGGTATCATTGTAAATTTGATATCGGCCTTTCATCTCCTTTCATCTAACTCTATATCTGATTTATAAGGGGCTTACATAATACAAAAATTGCATCATTTTTTGAAGCTACAAACTGTATATTATAAATAAAGAGCAGGAGTAACAAGTATTTTTCAATCTTTCATCATAAATGATTGATTGAATTCTTCTCATCATTGCATTTTTGCTTAAAAGTGAATTCATGCAAGGTGTTTGAATTCACGCAAGGTGATTGAGAAAAAAAATAGAGACAAATTTTTTTACCCTATATTACCGAAGTAGTTACCTATAAGAGTTTGGGGGGTTCTAACAAATTTCATCTAAACTCTTGTGCAAGAAAACTCATCAATTATAGCCTTTTGCAAGAAAACTCAATTATAGCCTTTTGCAAGAAAACTCAATTACAGCCTTGTGCAAGAAAACTCAATTACAGCCTTTTGCAAGGGATAACTTTGTACAGTATACTTGTTCAAAAAAAGGATAAACATAGTTTGTCCCTCATCTCAAGTGAAGTCGGCATTATCATTATCAACAAGTGCCTTTTTCCCCCCATTACAAAAAAAAAAGAGCAACGTGAGTTTGCTCAATAAACTTCAACGCTTGTTTTTTTTGCATTGACTTGATCTTGACTTGATCTTACTCCGGTCTATCCTTATCTTGGCCCCAGCTTCGCCTCATACTTTCTGCTTGGTGTCAAACCCGTCGAAGAAAAAAAACAAAAAAAGAAAAAATCTCCCCCACACTTCTCGGCAATATCCTATAGACACAAATTTACTGAGAAATACCCCAAATTTACTGAAGACTCCCCCGTTTACAAACAAACACGCTTACTAATACCCATCCACCAATAGGGTATGCTGACGAATTTCAAGACTGAGGATATACTGCAAACCAAGAGGCGGAGGATCGGTCAGGCGTGTGATTTCTGTAGATCAAAGAAAGCCAAGTGCGATGGCAGGACTCCATCGTGTACTAACTGTAGTGTTAGCGGCGAAAAATGCATATATACTCAGTCGTCCAAGCGGCGAGGACTACCGACAGGATACACTCATGATTTGGAGAAGAAGATACTAATACTACAGGGTCTAATTGCCAATCTAATCTTGGTGAATGATAAAGTAGATGCAGATATCTGGCAAATATTTAAAGACAAGCAGCAATTTCTAGGCAGTTTGGGGGACTTGAATAATAGATGGTCCAACAACCCCAGCTCCAAATTGGTTGAGAACATTCAAGAAGAGATTAGACCTATCTTCCAGGATATCAAGAGTTCTGTTTTCTCCAAATCAGCCAGCGTAAGTTATGCTTCTACTACACGAGATTCAAAGTCATTGCTGCCATCTAGCGTCATTGATAACAGCTCGGAAGATAAAAATATGGGTATTCAGCAGGCAGAAACCCCAATCGTTAAGCTAGAGCAAACTTCAGGTACCGAATTAGCGCGTCCTTCAACAACTTTACAACAACAACAACAACAACCACTTGCTCCTCCTCCTCACCCTTCTGTGCAAGATCCCGAGCCTTGTACACAAGTACCATACAACAATATACTATATCCGGAGCAAATCAATATTGTGAATGACCCATCTTTTTTCTTAAACTATGATATTTTCCAGTTTATTTCTGATGAAATTGACGGCGCAGGAAACGCCGAGAACTGGGAACCTGTAGCATTACAGTATCATGGACTATCATCGATCATATCCGGATTCACACGAAAAGCAATCCAGGAGACTTTTAACAAAAAGGGAAATCCAACAAAGAACCCGTTTAGGGTTGGTTCAATTTTCAACGTATCGTCATTTGCGATAAATGCCAGCTTTCAAGATAAAATTCAATTGCCATCTAAGATTTTCCATCTTCCCCCTCATGTTCGAGAGCTTGTCAATAACTATTTCCAAGTTATTCATATAATGATTCCGATGTTGGATAAGATCAGCATTAATAGACAACTACTTCAGCTTCAGACGATCAATGGTGATGAGCGACTGAATGTCGATTGTAATTCAATTGCTCTTTTTTGGGCAGTTATTGCTCTTGGGGAATCGAGTACAAACTCCTCGGGTGATTTAAGCGTGAGCATGGAGTATGCCAAGAATGCTATTATGGCATTGGAACATTCGTTGACTTCCACTATAGAAACAATGCAAGCTATGTTGTTATTGGGAATATACTATTATCAAGCCGGACAATGGGACTTTTCTTGGGTTTTGATCAGTTCGAGTTCGAGAATGGCAATCGATGTCCGTTTGATGAGAGCAGCTACGGATGAGGAAAACACTCGATTCAAATCTAGTACTACGTTGAATAACATCAGTAGAGAAAGAACTTGGGCCACGGTATATGTTTTGAATACTTTTTTGTCGGCACGAATGGGAAGGTCGCCAGTGGTGAGAGCAGCTGATTGGCCAGTGCCTCAGATAAATGATGACGGATGGGAGGAGTGGGATCCTTGGGTTAGCTTTCATGCACCTGAAACAATCAAGTTGGAACATGGTAGGTTTTTGACATTTTATAATCAACTATTAAAAATCATGTCTGTTTTGAACTTGGCAATCACTTCAACATTAGACACTTCCAAAGGATTAGTTGAAGACAGCGATGATGAGTTTGAAACCAAACCAGATTACAAAATTGATTACGATGATCGCAAGAACTCAAAAAGTATGACCATGAAAGATTTTGAAACGTGTATTAATACTTGGGTTGAGAATTTGCCGAAATTTTGCCGATTGCAGAAACAAGGCAACCCTCCAACGGTTATTTGCTATCATGGAGTACAACAGCTTGTTTGGTGTGTTTTGCTGGTCCGTTTGAGTTCATTGAAAGGAGGCGCTAGGTTACAGGATAAAGTGATCAAGTCAAGAAATAAACTTTATACACGTGCTATTCTCAAATTGAGAGAGTTGTTTACTGCTGAAACAGTTGAATACTTGAAGTGCTATCCCTTTTTAGATTATTTATTCACAATGTTATTAAATTTTCCACAAATGATGGATCTTCCTACTGAGCACGAGAAGGTCATGTTTTACAGAGAGATAAGGAGTATTGTGATCAACACAGCTAGAACATCAGCAGCAATGAGAATCTCTTGGGAGATTTCAAAGCGGATGAATATTGAGCAACAGCTGCAGTTAGATACGCCGAAAGCTCAAGAAAGTCCAACAATTGCGAATTTGTTAAACTCACCATCACAACCAACTCAAGAACTTGCTTCCTTGCCACAGTCTATTCAACAGCAAGAACAACAAAAACATAAACATAAACAACAACTGCAACAACAACTGCAACAACAACTGCAACAACAACAGCAGCAGCAACAGCAGCAGCAGCAGCAGTCACAACAACATCAACAATCACAGCTACAACAACCACTGTCACAACAGTATGCATCGACAAGCTCTGGTTCATTGGATCCACAAGCTAGAGCTTTGTTAGATGGTGTAAATGCTTTGAGCCCCCCTTTAGACAATGAATATCAGCAGAAAATCGGCTGCATGCAAGTAAATTCAGAGTTTGGTACACGGAGGCAGAATGAGATAGTTAGGTATCCAGAGCAAATTGGGAATCAATATGCCCAAAGTGCTCCACCATTGGGACAATATTACCCAGCAGGTCAGCACAATCATCAAATGCACAATCAAATGCACAATCATCAAATACAACATAATTCACATATCCTTCATGAGCCTGCTCAAACACGACAATCACCAACTGCATATAACACGCCGTCTTCTGGAGGGCATTATTACACCAGTCAACAGTATTTCCATCCACAGGATCCTCACCTGCTTCCACAGCAGCGTATGTCCTCGCATGCACGGTTTCAGCCAGTGCGAAATGAAATTAATGAAAACAATCAACAAACAAGTGTATTTTTGCATCCACATCCACAGCAATAGCCAGTATCATAGTCATATTTATATAAAAGTTACATTATTAAAAAGAATAATAGAAAAGTAGGAAAAAAAAAAAAAAAGAAGTAAATTGTACTATTTGTATGCTTTCAATTTGCTATGTATGTAGTAGCATTATTAAGTTTATCCGAATATTCCCTCCTCCATTGCATTTGGTACTGATTTATCACCATATGCTCCTTGCCAACTTACAGGCTTAATTAGTTTCGTGTCTTCTTGAGGTAGTAAATTTAAAATGTCCTTTAGTTTGATTGTCATTTTTTCAGCATCCTGGAAATTATCTCCTTCGTAGACATAGCTCATTAGCAAAGCAACGTTCCTATCTTTCAATTGCTGCTCAGACAACCCCAGCAGTTGCAGTTGCAATTGTTGCAGTTGTTGCAGTTGTTGTTGTTGCAGTTGTTGCAGTTGAGACTTTGCGTTGGGTAAGTCAAAAGCTTCTAACAAAAAGCTCACAAATTTCGAATTTGGAGTTTGTTGCAGATTATCAACAACCTCGTAATTTTTGGAGATAGTTAATCTTTCAAAATCTGCAGTGATTAAATCTTCAGCTTCGTAATACTTAATGTCACCAGAACTGACGCCTTCCGCCAATCCGGCGTCTGATGAGTTCAAGATTACTATTTTTTGGAAATTGTTCAGCTTGATAAATGGAACTATTGTTTCATTAACAAACGGTTCGGTGTACGTTGGCGCAATAGGACTTCTTTGCTGGATCAATGTAGTATTCAAGGGCGAGGAATAGTACACCTCAATAGCATGTGCTATGCCTTCATTGCTTGGGGTCGATACATAATCTATCGGAGAAGCAAAGGGGTATAAATACAAATCATTCAAATAACCAATTTTAGTGAAATTATACGAGTGTATAAGGAGATCAACACTTAGTTGTGGGATGTTCCCAATCGAGATGGAGGGTATAATTAATATTGATCCTCTGATATCTGGCTGAGGTACCGATCTTAGCGGAGTATACGACAAGGACATGCTTTTGGACGGGGTCGGGAAACAAAGGGGGTCCAAAACTTGACCTTTTCTCAATTGATATATGAATTGTTTCTAAACGATGGAATAAACGCTACCAACTATGAGAAAAGGGGTGGGCCGTATTTGTAGCCTAATCGAGCAACACTATTGACCAACACTATCGAGCAACACTATCGAGCAACACTATCGAGCAACACTATCGAGCAAAGCGAGATAGTGTTGTAACAAGCTAGTAAGGACTGCTCCACTATCGAGCAAAGCGAGATAGTGTAATAACAACCTATTAGGGACTGCTCGATAGTGTAATAACAACCTATTAGGGACTGCTCGATAGTGTAATAACAACCTATTAGGGACTGCTCGATAGTGTAATAACAACCTATTAGGGACTGCTCGATAGTGTAATAACAACCTATTAGGGACTGCTCGATAGTGTAATAACAACCTATTAGGGACTGCTCGATAGGGGACACCCAATCAGTATAGCTTGAATTACTCTATACTATACAATAGTTGAAATTTATATACTATTGACAATTGTACAACATATACTTGTCTATAGATAAGGCCTTGCTAAGATACAATCCTCTCCTACAACATATAGATAAGGTCTTGCTCAGTTACAAACCTCTGCTGCATAGTTATATATAGATGATAAGATATTCTCGTATATAGTAATATACAAAATAAGAACCTTGCTGAGTTCTAAAGCCATGCAAATGAGCCACTATCGAACGAAGCGAGATAGTGGACCAATACTGACCAACCTTTTGAGCAATACTGACCAACCTTTTGAACAGCACTGGCCATTCTTTTGAGCAGAGAGAGATAGTGTCACTAGTGTTACTAGTCAGTGCTACTCCACCATCTCGCTTCGCTCGATGGTGGAGACGATAGTGGAGTGTCGATAGTGTTACTAGTCAGTTCTACTCCACCATCGAGCGAAGCGAGATGGTGGAGTCGATAGTGTTACTAGTCAGTGCTGCTCCACCATCTCGCTTCGCTCGATGGTGGAGTCGATAGTGGATTTCTTCTCACCCCCCATTCCCCCCACAGAAAAAAAACCGAAATTGTTGCGCATTTAACTGGAAAGGTTTCCTAGTACAACATATTTGGATTTATCACTTGTGAATAGATGAGAAAGTAGTATTTTTGTCAATTGCCTTGTAACCTATCCCTTTTTTTTCCATGTCAAATCTATTGAGAAAGTTGTACAGTACCAAATCCAACAATCAGCAACAATCGCAAATTTTAGAACAAGCTCAACTCACCAGCAACAATTCAATGGATCAATACCACCAGTCTACTTATCCAGGTGAAGGAATTGTTCACCCAGTATTGGCGCAATCAGCGCCTACTACTACGAATGTGAGTGCCACCACTACTGTTAATGTGACACAAGCTCAACAGCAGCAACAGCAGCAACAGCAACAGCAGCAACAACAACAACAACAACAACAACAACAACAACAACAACAAAGACAACACAATACCAAAAGTGCTAGCGAAGACGCAATTCAGAGATCTCTACTTCCATCAAGATCTACGGTGAGTAAAGGAAAGTATTCTCTTGCCGATTTTTCAATTATGAGGACATTGGGAACGGGATCTTTTGGTAGAGTCCATTTGGTAAGATCCGTACACAATGGAAGATACTATGCCATCAAGGTCTTAAAGAAACAACAAGTTGTTAAAATGAAACAAGTAGAGCATACAAATGATGAGCGCAAAATGCTAAAGTTGATAGAGCACCCATTTTTGATAAGAATGTGGGGTACTTTCCAAGACTCCAAGAACCTATTTATGGTTATGGACTATATCGAAGGTGGTGAATTGTTCTCATTGTTGAGAAAGTCTCAAAGGTTTCCCAATCCTGTTGCCAAATTTTATGCAGCCGAAGCAACGTTGGCTTTGGAATATTTGCACAGTCACGATATAATCTATAGAGATTTAAAGCCAGAAAACATTCTATTGGATAGAAATGGGCATATTAAGATTACTGATTTTGGATTTGCCAAGGAAGTGCACACAGTTACTTGGACGTTATGTGGTACACCGGACTATATTGCTCCAGAAGTGATAACGACAAAACCTTACAATAAATCAGTTGATTGGTGGAGTCTTGGTGTGTTGATTTTCGAGATGTTAGCTGGCTATACGCCATTTTATGATTCTACCCCAATGAAGACTTATGAAAAGATCTTGGCAGGAAAAATACACTATCCCAGCTTTTTCCAGCCTGACGAAATTGATCTTTTGTCCAGACTAATAACTGCAGATTTAACTAGAAGATTGGGAAATTTGATAAATGGTCCCGCTGATATTAGAAACCATCCTTGGTTTCAAGAAGTTGTTTGGGAAAAGCTTTTAGCCAAAGATATTGAAACGCCTTATGAACCCCCAATCACTGCGGGTGTTGGAGATACGTCCTTATTCGATCACTACCCCGAAGAACAATTAGACTATGGAATACAAGGAGATGATCCATATAAACAATACTTTCTCGATTTTTAGATTCTTTTTTAGATTCTTCTTTATTAATTATAATACAAAAATAAAACTACCTTTTTTGCTTACCCTTTTCTTCTATTTGGATACTTTACTATTGAGTATCACTAGAAACCATTAGAAACATATAATCGATAAAAACATGTACCTCTATAAACGAACTGAATTTATATATATACAAACCAGGGGGGAAAAAAAAAAAAGAAAAGGTGTCTTTTCTATTCTAGATGTTTTATCATGCTTGGAAAACATGCTTACACTCTAAACAAACAAAAAACAAAATCATACTTGTATCTTTCCTTCGTTGCTGCGATTGGAAAAACACACAGTCACGATTACCGCATTCGGGACACTCTTTGTCACTTCTAGGTAAAGTAGGATCGCTTCCAATATCCTCAACAACCCCTGCCGTAGCACCTATATTTGTCATCAACTCATGACGATAAACTTTTGGCATCTCTGCTAATTCTGTATAACCACAATTACGACACGCATATAGGAGACGTTGGCCGTCCTTATCTTCCTTTGGATACAACATATTATTGCATTCTGCGCAAAACCTAAATGATGCCATGATTACGATATGGAAGCTACTAGCCAACCAGGGTGAAATCTAGCGAACCGGGGTGATATCTAGCGAACCAGGGTGATATCTTTTCTAGCACACCAGGGTGATATCTTTTCTAGAGAACCAGGGTAAAATCTTTTCTAGCCAACCAGGGTGAAATCTTTTCTAGGTCTCTTCACCTCACCTCTTTTCATTTCTTCTTTAACTCGTTTTTTTTCAGTCAATGAGAGAATTCAATTTGTTAGTCGTGCCATTTGCACCAAAGATTGTAATTTTTCAGTTTGAGCTTTATAGTTTAAAATTTTTTTTTCTTTTCCACCAATACTTGACCAATACTTTACTGAAGCAGGGAACAGGATACTTACAAGAATGTCACTTATTCGTCAGGCTCTATCATTTGGTATTAGAGTTCCACAATTGGGGAGAAGCGTACCGGCTCTTGTAACATCAATAAGGTTCAATTCTAGCGCTAGTGCTAGTGCTAGTGCTGCACCAGTAGATGCTAAGATATCACAAATTGTTGATCAGATCTCGACTTTAACTCTTTTAGAAACATCGAGCTTGGTGAGTGAGTTGAAATCAAGACTTAATATCAGTGATATTGCATTACCAGTAGGAGGAGGTGCTGGTGCAGGCGCTTCTGCACAAGCTGCGCCAGTTGAAGAAGAAGAAGCTAAAGTACCTGTTGAAGAGAAGACAATATTTTCAATTAAATTGGAAAGTTTTGATGCTAAATCGAAACCAAAGATTATCAAAGAGGTTAAAGGGTTATTGGGCTTGAGTTTGGTTGAAAGTAAGAAATTCGTTGAAAGTGCTCCAAAGATTTTGAAGGAGAATGTAGCTAAAGAAGATGCTGATAAGATAAAGAGTACTTTGGAAGGATTAGGGGCTAAAGTTTCTTTAGAATAAAGAATTGAGAAAAGAAAAAGAGTAAAGGGAGTCAGGCCATAGTGTGATTGCTTTTGTAAATATATATATATAATCACGATAAACCAAGAATGTATCTTTAAAAACATATAACGATCATCAACTTTGTATCTTGAAACATATAACGATCATCAACACCGTATCTTTAATAACATATAACGATCATCAACACCGTATCTTTAATAACATACATAATTGATTGAATTTTAGTGACTGATATATACCGCCAACTGTTTGATGTCAATGTGTTTACTAGAGTGTCTGAGTAATCTGATGTGATTAAAATATGCGACATTTTGTAAGTCTTTTCAGAAAAGCGCAACTGTTGCGACATTATCGGCACCATCGACACTATTGACCAGAGCGAGATAGTGGAGCAATACTTTGTAGCGACACAGATATAACTTTGAGACATCCAATATTGACGGGTGTCTTGATATAGAAGGGTTTCTTGATATTAACGGGTGTATTAATATTGAAGGGTTTCTTGATATTGACGGGTTTCTCGATATTGATGTGTTTCTTGATATTAACGGGTGTCTAGATTTATGTGAGTTCCTGAATGTAAGGGGTATTTTAGTTATAGAGGCTTTAAGTACAGGTTCCTGACTGCAAGGGTATATCGATTTCGGCAGGTTTTGAAAACGAGGTTAAAAGGGAGTTTTGTCAAATAGAAATCTACAAATGACAGCATCACAATATAAAATAGTAGAAAGTCTCTAGTAGTAGTGCATCCGACACTATCGACCAAAGCGAGATAGTGGAGCTCACTGACCAGCTTGTTATACACTGACCAGCTTGTTATACTGACCAGCTTGTTATACTGACCAGCTTGTTAAACACTGACCAGCTTGTTAAACACTGACCAGCTTGTTAAACACTGACCAGCTTGTTAAACACTGACCAGCTTGTTAAACACTGACCAGCTTGTTAAACACTGACCAGCTTGTTAAAACACTATCCCGTTCTGCTCGATAGTGGAGCAGCATTAACTAGCAGGGGGGGTTCTCCTCCAGTTCTTTTTTGCACACAGTTAGTCTCCTTAGTTTACAGTAATTTATTGTACTATAAAAAGAAATTACGAGCTAGTCTGGTTTATGTAGCATATCACGTGATTTATTTATTTATTGACCATTGAGCAAAGCGAGATATTGTCTGCTCGATAGTGTTGTCGATGGTGTTACTAGCTTGTTACAACACTATCTCGCTTTGCTCGATAGTGTTGCTCGATAGTGTTGCTCGATAGTGTTGCTCGATAGTGTTGCACGATAGTGTTGCCCCGTAGTATTGCCCCATAGTGATGTATTTAGATAAGCAAAAGAAAAAAGGTGAAATTTTTTAGTATGGTCTATTTCATTACCAACAACAAAAGAAATCTCAATGGCAACGACTACCTAGTAGAAAGACTATATAACTTGATTGACATTGGTTACGGATATGCACCGGTAACTTTATCTCGATAACTCTGCCCTTGTCTTTGTTCAACCTCCCCCCCCTGCGGTTGATTCATCTTTGGGATTTTCATTTATTTCATCAATTTCTTTTTCCTTTTTTCTTACTTGCTTTTTTTTTTTCTCCTTCAACAAGCGCTTAATAACATACAAATATATTTAATATTTTAACAAATATTCACTTGTAGGTTTAAACTCTTGTGGGTGGGAAGGGCGTCATTTTGTAATAAAGTAGTATTCTCCAGCAAGTAATAGCTAGTCAATGGTGCTCCACTATCTTGCTCTTTTTTTTTTTTTTTTTAATTTTTTATTTTTTTATTGGCTCGGGTTAGATAGTATAGAGTATATCTTGGTGTGGTGTGGTGTTTATTTTATCAAACCCTTCCTCTGTCCTTATCCTTCTTTGCTCCTACGGACCAAAAGGAACTCCGTTTTGGTTTACAAAATATTTCGGGCGGGACTAAAAATCCAAAATAGAACAAGAAAAACAAAAGCGCGGTAGGGCTTAATATTAAAAGCAATTACAAGTTGCTTTAAGGGAGAGGTTTGGTTTAGCTTTGAGTTTTGACCATCGAGATTTAGCATTGAGATTTAGCATTGAGATTTAGCATAGCATTTTGCATGGCATTTTGCATAGTAAAGAAGAGAAAAATTAAGCCACGTTCAAGATTAAAAGAGATTGGGTTTTAGTTCTTCCTTAGGTGACAATTTACTTGCTACTGGTTTACTGGTTACTGGTTATTTACTACTTGTTACTTGTGTTTTACCAAAAAAAAAAGGCATGAAAATCAGTGTCATCACCATATTACACCAAGGACGGAAATAGTAGTGATAATAATACTATTAATTTTAAAAGGTATACAAACCACAATCAAGAATACCGGAAAACAGGGGTTAAGACCGGTGATGAATAGCAAGGCTCAATATAGAGTTCCTTTGGGTTATTTGGGGTTGGACAAGGAGAGATTCGCATCAAAAGAAGATATTAAGCCGTGGCTACAAGAGCGTCTCTTGAGATTGGGTATAAACGTCGTTATAGAGAGATCAGATACCAGTAAGATCATATTCAAGTGCAAAAATAAGGAAAAGAAAACCAAGATTGTGGAAGCAAAGAGCAAAAACTCCAAAATATCAATAAGGCGACATACAACATGTCCGTTTAAAATCAGAGCTAACTATAGCGTAAGGAACAAGGTATGGAGCATTCTGGTGATAAATGATACTCATGACCACATATTGGAGACGCCGCAGCCGCAGCCGCAGCAGCAGCCGCAGTCACAGTCACAGTCACAGTCGCAGTCGCAGTCGCAGTCACAATCACAATCACAATCACAGCCGCCATTATCTGATTACACACAGTTACCACAAACTCGAAATATCCCTATAGATAAATCAACAACAACAACAACCACAGCAACAACAACCACAACAGCCAAAAACAATGTAACAACTTCACCACATCAACCTTCTTTAGCTAATATGAAAACTAAAGTTAATTTGAGTGTACATAATACAAATAATAAGTCAAAAACGGATTCTCCCGAGTGTATAAACGCGAGCGATAATCAAAGCTCATCTAATTCCAATTTCTTGAATAGAAGCGGCGAAGAGTCAAGAGACAGTCCTCCCACATCGTCGAACCTGATTGGCGAGGAATTATCTAGTAACACGGATGAAAATTTGAATTCGGCTGTTAAAAACTCTTCTTTTCACAATAACAATACTAATAAGAATGATGCTATTAACAAAAAAAGAAAGAACAAGTTTTCTACACTGAAAACCAAATTGCTTAGGCAGCAAGAAATTTCCAAACGAGCCCTGAAATTGTCCATTATTGAAGATCGCGAGATTAATAGTTCTCGTATAAAGGAATTGCCAAATTTCCAATCGCATCTGGATACATTGAATGATAATCAAAGTGATAGCAACTATCCACAAAGTGGCCAACTTCCACCGATATCAAATTCAAAGACAAAGCATCGGCAATTATCCGACAAAATCAATCCGCATCGACGTCAGCATCAACATTCGCATTCGCTTCCGAATGCACAAGCATTTTCAACTCAATTGCCTACCCAGCAACCTATTGAAGAACATTTTCAACCAAAGACTTATTCAACAACATATACAGTTCACAATCTTTACAGTGAGGTACGAGATATAGTGAGAAACATGATCCTTGACGAGCCGAAATTCAATCAAAGCCAAAAGACAGAAATGTTGGATTCATTTGTTTCACAATTGTTGCTTGACTATAGGGATCATCTCAGTCATAAATTTATGCATTTTTTGAAAGAAAATTTGTATGGCGAGGGCCAAAAAAATGGAAATGGAAGTGGAAATGTAAGTGCGAATGAAAGTGCAAGTGGAAGTGGAAATGGAAATGGAAATGTGAATGGAAATGGGAATATAAATGTAAATGTAAGTGGCACTGTAGTTGAGCATGTTGCCCAGCCACCGCCGCAGCCGGCACAAGTTTCTCCACAACAGACACACTCAACTCAGCATCAGAAAAAGACCACTCTCAATAATTGGTTATTGTCCAATTTAGGTAACAATACCATTAATAGCGCTTCAGCGTCTATCCCATTATCACCTTTGCTAAACGACTCTACTGGAAATGAGTGTGCGACGACTGCTAATACCAATGCCAACATGTATGGTAATGTATTGGACAATTTGAACTCGAACCCGCAACCACCACCTCCACTGCAAATAAATGGTGCAAGTGTTGCTGTACCATTAAATTACATTCAAATGGGAACGCAAATACAATCTGACCAGAATCATAACAATCAATTACCGCCATTAAATTCCATTCACAATAGGATGCCCTTGAGCTCGACAAAAAGTGAGACAACTGTACCAGTTGAATATCCGTCGATAAATAGCAATACGAGTATGATCAATCCTTTATTATCTTCACAGTCAAACGGAACGCGAAATAGCTACAACTACGGGAACACACTTCTTCCGAATAACACATCCATATTCCCCAATATCAATAGCAATAGTAGTAGTAGTAACAACAACAACAACAACAATAATAATAATAGCACCAGTAATAATGGCAGCACTTCATCAACCTTGATGCCTCCATTATACCCTGTATCATCAACTTTGAATCCATCACAAATACTCAAACATTCAACCTCTACGGCGGCCCCCAATGTGTTGAACAACAACAATAACTTTGCTATGAATTATAGTAATTCATCAAAGGGATCTAATTCATTCCTAAATTCTATTGACAATCCATCTTTTTTATTTGGTCCAACTAATAATCCCATATCAAGCATTGTACATCATCTCAACAATAACAATAATAATATCAATAATAATATCAATATCAATAACAATAACAATAACAATAACAACAGCAACAACAATAACAACAATAATAGTAATAATAATAACAATAGCAATAGCAATACATCTGCTGTATCAGCAGCAGCAGCAGCATCCTTTTCCTTGCTTCCCTTCCAAACAGAGAAGGATAATTCAAGTACGAATATTTTGAATAATATTCCTTCCTATGATACCAGTTGGTAGGGTTTATTATACGTCAAAAAAACAACAGTCTTTTTGTGATTGACTATGAGGGAGAGACATTTGAATATTTGCAAAGTCTTTATGAGACATTTGTCGGTATATTTTTCATTTCTTAGGTATGTATTTGAGAATTAGCTAGTAACTTGTATTTGTGATTTTTGAAACATTGCGAGGAGTTGGAGATAGGGGAGGGGGTGGGGTGGTAAGTCTCTTTCTATTGCATTGGGGGGGGGGGGGTTTAAATCTTTTTCCTATTTATTTTACAATTATCCTGACACTCCATTTTTGGCCATCTCATAAATGGCATATACGTTCAATACAGAAACGAAAATCCAAATTAGGAAGGCGATTGATGAAGTCACCCAATTATTAGTCATGATTTTATACTTTTCGCCATCATCTCCTATTTCCCCTTCGTCATCTTCTTTCAATTTTACCTTCATTATCTTTTTAGAACAAGTGAAATAAATTAGAGGTGCAGTTAACGGAGGCAACAAAATGGAAATGATGACTTGGGAAATGTTTAAAGCAATACCTAGACCATTTCTACCAATGCATAAACTGATAATGAGGCATGGAACAATGGATATGCCTCGTGTGATTAGTCTCCTCAACCATGGTTTCAAAGTCCAATTTATATGCCCTTCGCTTACTACTTGGCCTGCTATGGTGCATACTATGCCTGCGCTCTGACCACTGAATAGTAATGCAACCATGAATACGGTACCCATTGCTGGCGCAACAGAACTCGAAATTAAATCGTAGATGGTGAACAAATCTGCATCTATTGCTTCCTCAGTTCCATACAATGTAGTACCTGCGACTATCAAAATCGCCGAGTTGACAAAAAGCGCCAATGTGAATAATGTAATGGTGAGTTCAATTATGGAATATTTTAGGGAATATTTGATAGCTTTGTAGGATGGCTTGTATCTATTATAAAAAAAGTCGGCTTCTTTTTCATAAGTAGTGATTTTATGCTGCGATTTCTTATCAGTAACATCTTTGCCTTCGATAGACTTCCCATCTACTTCCTCCACTTCAAGCACCTTAGTTTTTTCCTCCCCACAAATCTCATTCAATTTAACATATCCATTTTTCACATCGAATTCACGTAATCTAGGCTGAACCAACCCAGAGCCCAAGAACAAAGAATGAATCATCACTGTGGCACCAACAATTGACGTGGCCACGGTCATTCCATTACCATCGAACATTTGCTTACTTGGAACAAATCCTCGAAAAACATCCTTTGCATTGGCATGTATTTGAGACAATTGTATGGCGAAGCACACCACCACCACCATGACCAATACACCGATAGTGTATTCGAAAATCTTGACAAACCTCATTGAAGACGTATCTGCTCTGTAGGTCATCATAACAAATAACACATCAACAATGGTAATCACTACTCCTGCAGGGAGCGGTATTTTCAACAATATGTTCAAAGCAATAGCACTACCTATTACTTCAGCTACATCAGTTGCAATAATGGCGCATTCTGCGAGAATCCATAAAAACCAGTTCAATTTCTTGGGTAAATATTCTCGACAGCATCGCGCAAGATCGTAACCGGTAACACTTCCTAATTTTATGCATAAACTTTGTAAGAAAATGGCAATGACATTAGATAAAAAGACAATGAAAAGCAAGGAATACCTATTGGAGCTTCCTGCTGTAATTGCAGTTTGATAGTTTCCCGGATCTAAGTAGCTCACAGCAACAACTAAGCCTGGACCTATGAATTTGATGTATTTCAAAAAAATTTCTTTAGCGCGCAAGCCAAATAGCTTCATCTTTGATTCGAGCATCTCAGCCGTTGTAGTCGTGGATGGAGATGAAGATATACTTTTTGTGTATTCACCATGTATACAGACTCGATGGTCTTGAAATGACTCGCGAGAAGTTATTACCTCATCCACATTCTGTTCCAGCTGATGTGCAATATCTACAGATTTCCCCATATTACTCTATAACCTTTATTCTGTTGAACCTGTTTAATCTCTTTTTTGTTTAAAATCTTTTTGCGAGCCTCGAAAAATTATCTTCAAGTTTTCCTTCTGACCTCTTAAAATCTTCCTGCAACCCTCCTGTAACCTCTGAAATTTTATCAGCTTATCGATTGTCCCCTTTGAATCAGCTCTTCCCTTCCTGGTACCCTTAACTTATCGTTTGTTTTTTTCTTTTCTTTTTTTTTCTCTCTTTATTTTTCCGCCTTACTGTAAGCAGGGTTTGAAACACTCAACAGTAAAGGAAAGATCTGGGGAACAAAATTAGGCTCTAGTGTTAGATTCACAGGTCCGGCGCGATAAGTAGGTGATTTGGTTACTTATTTATAAATTGCTACTTTTGGGTTTCCCTCCCTAATCGGGAAACCCAGAAAAGAAAAGGGGGAAGGGGGAAGGGGGAAGGGTAAGAAAATAGTTCCGGGTTTTTCCTTAAGCAGGACCAGTTTGTAACCGGTTCTATGGGGCGATTGCGCGCTACAAAACTTATTATTCTCCAAATATAGGATTAGAAATGAGGGGACAAATTCAGGGGAGAGAGAGGCAAGACATCGAATCAAGAAACGTCAATTGAGTCTATCTAATTAATTTTCTCATTGACTTAAATTATACTAGAGACAAAAACAATATTCAATTGATTGGTTGGTATAGTAAGGATGCATACCGTATATGTATGGAGTCCTCCTTGGCGTAATGGGAAAAAAATAAATAAAAAAAAAGAAAAAAAAAGTAGAGCCTAGAGCCCACTCGAGTAGAGCGAGATAGTTGACAAACACTGACTAGTTGGTTGAGAAACACTGACTAGTTAGTTCAGCAACACTGACTAGTTAGTGTTGCAACAAGCTTTCAAGTGCTGCTTCATTTCAAACGCTCTCTCTTTTTCTACTCCCAAATGCCCCTTCTCTCTCTCTCTCTTTCTCTCTGTGTTTTTCACTCTCTCTATTTTTCACTCTCTCTATTTTTCACTCTCTATTGATCTCTCTCCTTTTTCTCCATTTTCTCTAATTTTCTCCATTTTCTCTAATTTTCTCTAATTTTGCACGTTTGGGTTTTCAATAAAATTCTCTATAGCTTCACCTTGATTGATCTTCTTCAATTTGTCCAAAATTTCTTTAAAATCCTTAAACTCGGTGTATGGAATATTTTCCCTAATACAGTACTTGATCAAATCTTTACCATGTTTTGCAAATAACAAATCAGTTTCTTTTGCTGCCGACAAATCGCTTACACCGTCGCCCAAGTAGAATAGCTTAGGTTTGGTAATTCCTTCATAATCCCCTGTATCATCCACATAACCACGGGAAGTAAGCCATTCCTTAATCGACTTTGCTTTATCATGGCCAAACGGAGAATCTGGATCCTTAAATAAAAGCTCCCATTCATCGCCGTTATCGGCAATTCTGACATTATTGGATAAAACTTCAATCCTTTTTGATGCATCAGGACCAACCAATTGGTATAATAATGCAGAAATTATTGGTGCCATACCCGAACTCACCACTACTATAGTAATGTTTTCCAGTTGACAGTATTTGAAAAATTCCTTGAAACCAGGGTCAAGCTTGATGTTGGCCAAAAGATACTCAACACATTCATTAAATGGTTTGTTTACTGACTCCAACATTTCTCTGAATCCATCACGAAAATTGGTCTTGCCTTGAAGAATAGCGTCATTTATAACCATTCTTTTGTCATAACCCATACCGATATTATCAGTGAGGAAATCATTGGAATCCTGTAAAGTGATGGTACCATCCCAATCTGAAAACACAATTGCTTTAGGAGTTGACATGGACAATTTTTTAATTCTTTTGGAAGAAAAGAAGAAGGAAAGTATAGACTAGAGAAGCAATTTGAAAAATTTCAAAACCTTGTCTAGATTGGGCCCCATGTAACGTGGAAAAAAAATGGTGCACGACTCGAGAGATGGAGTGGGGCAGGCAACGGAACAAAGGGAATAAAGGGAATAAAGGGGATAAAAGGAATACTACTTATTGCTTATTACTTGAAAATGAAATACGAGAAGAGAAAAAAGAATATGGCATGCACGTGACAAATAGATGCTGCCCACTATCGAGCAGAGCGAGCTAGTGGAGCAACACTGACTACCTGCTTACGCTCTGCTCGATAGTGGAGCAACACGGACTACCTGCTTACTATCTCGCTCTGCTCGATAGTGGAGCAACACGGACTACCTGCTTACTATCTCGCTCTGCTCGATAGTGGAGCAACACGGACTACCTGCTTACTATCTCGCTCTGCTCGATAGTGGAGCAACACGGACTACCTGCTTACTATCTCGCTCTGCTCGATAGTGCAGCAACACTGACTACCTGCTTACTATCTCGCTCTACTCCATAGTGGACACCTATTTAAGTTGAAGTATTTTTTTAGAAATAATGCTTGCTTGTGGGGTAGGCGCGCGAGACACGGGACGGGACGGTACGGTACGGAACGGAGAACGGGAACTCGATAATTTTTACTTTGCGCGCCCAATGGTACTAGAATATATAATATTTTATATTTTTAAATCTTATCCAGCAAGAAAAAAAAAATTAAACCGCCACCACCTCAAATGCAAAATGTACTTCCGAAAAATACTGAAACATAATTGAATTTTCAAACAAAAAGAAAGAAAAAAAAAAAAAAGATACTTGTAACCATTAGTTGTAGTTGTAATGTAGATACGCCCAATGAATGTAGATGTACTAAGATTAGTTATTACACACGGGTTTGGTTGCTACAAAGTGCTGCTCCACTATCGAGCGAACCGAGATAGTGGAGTGTCGATAGTAGAAAATAGATTTTTTTTTCCAATTGTGCCCAATGAATGTAGATGTACTAAGATTAGTTATTGTTAATAGTCCACTATCGAGCAAAACTGACTACCTCACTATCGAGAAAAACTGACTACCTCACTATCGAGCAAAACTGACTACCTCACTATCGAGCAAAACTGACTACCTACCCACGATCTCGCTTCGCTCGATAGTGGAGTGTTAATAGGGGAGTGTAGATTAATTTTTTTTTCAATTGTTCCATAAGCGTATGTATGATAAAATCTTTAGTAAATCATGTTTCAAATTGGTATTCTTCCTACAATCAAAGTCAACTCTTATGATTATAAATTATCTCGGTGTAACTTTAACTGAGGGACAGATTTTACATTGACTTTTTGACACTATTATTAAGTTCGGATATTTATTATTCCATTTTCGGCTAGAAAATAGAAAAAATAAAATAAAAAATAAAAGCAAAGAAAGATCAATGATAGAAAGTGTCCAGCTGTAAATTTTTTCTCTATCGATTAAGCGAATCCAAGATGACCTTACACGGGTTTGATTACTAGCAATCCAATTTTTTTCCGTTCCCTCTCAAACTCTCGTAGTTTTCTTCCTACCCCTTTATTTCCCTAGTTCTCCCCCCTCCCCCCTCTCCCCCCCTTTACTTCCCTGGTATACCGGGCAGCCGTAGAGTGTATCGTTGCTGGGGGAGAGGTTTTATAGCAAGATATATGGACTAGGCAATAAAGACGGGTGCAAAAAGTGCATGTTTGTGTGCGTGTACCAAATACCCAAACTAAACAGTATGCAGAATAAATGATTTTGTGATAGTGGGTGGTGGGTGATAAAGTTGCTTGCTTTTACATTGCATTGCTTTCTCTTGTTTAGTACTTGTGCTTTAGTGCTAACAAAACCTTGAATTTTCTCTAGTATGGTTCTCTTCGTTAATAAGAGCCAAACAATACAATACAGTTAATATAGAGCACTTTTAAGAGTTAAAAACCTCTAGAGATATCAAATTTTCACCTAGATAAATAAGAGACTCTAGGAGCTAAAACTCCACTGCTATAACTTTGTTGACTCATCAGCACAGGAGCAAAGTATATAGAAAGAATTATAGAAAGAGATTTACGCTACAGTCACCAGGCACACACGCACAGAGAAAGCAATATTATCACTTTTTCTGTCCCTTCTATCCTTCTGTCCCTTCTGTCCCTGCTTTATTCATTTGAATTAGTAGCAGACATACACATATATTCCCCGCCACTATAAGTTACCATGTTTGAAAACTTGAAAGCTTTCATTAGACATGGAAAGCAAGCCAATGATTTCAAAAAGAAAACGGCTTCTCCATATGAACAGCAACAACCACAGCAAACTTTGACGGCTGAAAACCCATTCGGTTCAGATTATCAACTCATTGATTCCTCCGACATATCAGGTAAACAATATCAGCAACACCAGGCTCCACACCAAACTCACCAATCACACGGAGATGAACAAAATCCTCGTTGTGGCCCTGAATTTGTTGATCACAATAGTCGCAACGATGGCAAAAGTGTCTACGCCGACGCAGAGACAAACCTCTCTGATATTACATTAAACGACCCTGTGCAACAGCAACAACAGCAACAACACCAACACCAACACCAACAACACCAACAACACCAAGAGTATAACAAAGTGGCAACGCAAATTGTTGAAGAAGAACGTTTACAAAAATCCAAATTTAAAAAATACCCGAATTTGGACAAGTACGAAGTAATGGAGCAAATGGGCGAAGGTGCATTTTCCGTAGTATACAAGGCTGTACATAAAGCAACTGGTAAAGAAGTTGCCATCAAGATATTACGTAAATTTCAAATGGATCAACAGCAAAAGCAAGCGGTTTTAAAAGAAGTTACGATAATGAGGCAGTTGAAAAACCCATATATAGTAAGATTCATTGAGTTTATTGACTCTCCAGTTTACTACTATATTGTGCAAGAGTTGGTGTCAGGAGGTGAGATATTCACAATGATTGTGAAGTACACTTATTTATCCGAAGACTTGTCTCGATGGATTATTACTCAAGTTGCACATGCTATTAGATACTTGCATGAGGAAGTTGGAATTGTGCATCGTGATATTAAGCCCGAAAACTTGTTATTTGAACCAATAGAACTCAAACCTAGTGCTGACCCAACTGCCAAATTGAGAAAAAGCGATGATCCAAATACAAAAAAGGATGAAGGCGAGTTCATTGATGGTGTTGGAGGAGGTGGTATTGGAGTTGTTAAGTTGGCTGATTTTGGTTTATCCAAACAGATATGGGAACACAATACAAAGACACCTTGTGGTACGGTAGGTTATACTGCACCGGAAATAGTTCGAGACGAACGTTATTCTCGCGAAGTGGATATGTGGGCGATGGGATGTGTGCTTTACACTTTATTATGTGGATTTCCACCCTTTTACGATGAAAGAATTGAAACTTTGACTGAAAAAGTGGCAAAGGGACAGTTTACCTTTTTGCAGCCCTGGTGGGATGAAATCAGTGACGGCGCAAAGAACTGTGTGAGTAATTTATTAACTGTTGATCCAAAAAAGAGGTATACTATAGATGATCTCTTGCGGGATCCTTGGATGCAAACAAAACCTAAAAGTGCTGCCCAAGGAACATCAGTGCTAAATTTGAATTCAACATTGTTAAATACCAAAGTTTCGCACCCTATTCAGTCACAAAACCAGGGTACTTTAGCTGATGACAGTGCCAGTGCTATTGCTACCAGCGGTAACAAATATTCAAAGAAATACAAATCTCAAAATTTCAACCAGGATCTTTATTCACCTGCAGCAGTGGCTTTGAGAGATGCATTTGATATTTCTACGGCGGTACATCGTATGGGAGAAGAAGCTGCGCTATCCACCAAATACTCTCAACAAGCATACGGGGATTTAATTGAAGAAGAAGAAGAAGAAAATGAAGAAGATGTGACAGCAAGTGGTCGTGTCTTGCATCATCATAAGAGAAGTCCTTCGTCACAAAATATCAGACAGCAGCAGCAGCAGCAGCAGAAGAAACACCAAGATCCAAGAGTTCCTCGTTCTGTAGTGAATAAAAATGGGGATTACCATATTAGGAATAATAATGAATTTGATTTGAATCTTGGCGCTGCATCGATTATTGAAAGAAGGAAAAATAAACAAATACCTATTCAAACTAGTTGAGAAAAGGTTCACCTTTTTTAATAGAGTTCTGTTTCTTGGTTAGAGAAGGAGATAGATAGATAGATATATAGATATTTAGATATTTAGATATATATATATATATCAAAGGGAAAGGAAAAAAAACAACAAACAAACAAAACAGATTTTGCAATAGCCTGATATAATTTATTTCACGCATTTGTTGTTGGATAGTTACTTTAGAATAATATAGTTTAGATAGAACCATAGGGAAAAGAATACATGGTTGATTTCATTTTTTATTTAAGTTTATTTTAATTTAATTTGATGCTGGCTTCAAGTGTAGAGGAACAACTCAACAGTTGTAAAGAGTCATGAGACAAGCGTTTCCCCTTTTAGAGACTCTATAGTTGATTTTAGTGAGAGGTTATCACTGTGATGATAACACACGGGTTTAGTCCAACCCCCCTGTAGAAAAATAACACTTAAGGGGTTTTAGGGGGTAATCCACAGTTTTTCTTTCTTAGTAAGAGTGATTACAAATACACTGAACATATAATATATAAACCACAATTTATCATCATATTCTCTAAAGAAAAAGTCTTCTTTTGAATATATTGTTAATAGGGCCTTCTTGTTATTACTGAATAGAGTGAGATCTTTGCTTAACAATGGTAGTTGGACAAATAGCTAAAACGCAAAAAGTTTCTTTGTTTCGTGAAATTGGAGATTTTGACAAGATTGAATTTGCTGAAATATCTACGCCAGAAATTACTAAAGCAAATGAAATAATTATCAAGAATGCTTATGCTGGGATCAATTTCATTGAAGCTTATTTTAGAAAAGGAATCTATCCAGTTGCAACAACTCCGTATGTTTTTGGAAGAGAAGCAAGTGGGGAAGTGGTCGCTATTGGATCATCGGTATCAAATATAGAGCTTGGTGATAAAATTGCATATTTAGCACCAGGGACATTTGCTCAATATACAAAGATTACAAGTGACAATTTCAGGTACATTAAGCTTCCACAGGATGTAAGTGATGAAGATTTGAAAATCTACGGCAGTTTCTTATTACAAGGATTAACTGCACTTACTTTTGTTAATGAGGCATATAAAGTTAAGCTGGGGGATTACATTTTAGTCTGGGCCGCCGCTGGTGGTGTAGGAAAGCTATTAACACAATTGATTTCTCAACGTGGTGCTCATGTGATTGCAGTTGCTTCATCGGATGAGAAATTGCAAATTGCCAAATCTTTGGGAGCCGAGTACTTGATCAACTCAAGCACAAAGGATGTAGAGAAGGAAGTCAAGGAAATCACAAATGGCAAGGGCGTGGAAGCATCCTTTGACTCAGTGGGTAAGGACACGTTTCAAATCTCGTTGAATTCATTAGCTAGAAAAGGTTCGTTTGTTAGTTATGGTAACTCTTCCGGACCTGTGGCTCCGTTCCCATTGAGTTTGTTATCTGCAAAGAATATTCAATTGGTGAGACCACTGTTGTTTGGATATATTACGACAAAGGAGGAGTGGGATCACTATTCCGGTGAGTTGTTGCAATTGTTCAAAGAGAATAAATTGAAATTCGATATCTCAAAGACTTATGATTTAGAGAACTACAAACAAGCGGCACAAGATCTAGAAGGGAGAAAGACTAGTGGGAAATTGACTTTAAAAATCCCCCAATAAAAAATATTGGGTGAAAAGGATTACCAACAGGGAAAGGAGGTCTTGAAAGAAACATTGGGTGAAAAATATTACCAACAGGGAAAGGAGGTATTGAAATGAACTTTCATAGCTGTGTGTATCCGTAAAACCTATAATATATGTGTATATATTTATTTAATATGCGAGGAGAGCGACTAGCTCCAACTTCTTGCCCTTCCAGGTTGTTTTGCAAAAAGAAAACAACAAAAAAAACATACCTTACCTATTATAGTTTGGGTCTGCTTTGCTCGTATTTCATCAAATCCTGAGGCGTGACCACTCCATAAACAACGTTTCCCAGATCATTAGTAACAATAGCAAAGTAATTTCCTCTATTGAAAAAACTAGCCAAATCTTCCAAGGGACTAAATGGTGTCAAGACACTATATCTCTTGCCCTTTGGCTTTAGTATCTTTGTCATTGGTGGTGTGTTATCTACAGACTTCTTTTCCTTCATTATTTCATTCTCATATTTCATCTTGGTTTTTGGATTAAACCAAAGCATATAGTGGAACACTTGTGGTTTGAGTTTATCATCAGGATAGTTGTCTTTAAACTGCTCAAGGTTTATTATTCCTAGGAGTCTCTTATTGACCTCGTGTATTACTGGTAAGTAAGTAAATTCATTCTCAAATCCAATTCCTATTGCATCGCGAATCAACGACGACGGATTGATGGAGATTGCATGGGGGATATTCAAATCTTCTATGGTTGCACCGCGATAATCTTTCGTGTGGAACAACATTGGCGTTACCGACATGTGCCGAGGAAATGGTCAACTCAGTAAGAAGTGAAATTAATCAAAGTTTGAAGATAAATTTGAAAGGGAGGTGTTCTCGATGATTCAAATCAAAACGGCTTTTATTTTTTCATTATCAATTTTTTTTTTTCCTTCTCCTACAATTCTTTCATCCTTATATATATCTATATATATATAAATTATGCATTAAAGATGGGGGAGGGGAGAGGAGGGGGAAGGGGGGGAAGGGGGGACATTTTCGAAAACTGCTACTTCTAGTACTTGGGGTTTTTGATTTTCTCTCAAGCTGCTTCGGCAGTATGGTACTGTGCTTGACCGTTTCTTGATTCTGAAGCTTCGGCAACTTCACCTTCTTCGGTAACTACTCTTTTCCAGACCTCTTCGTCATTACCATTGTTTAATATGCCAATCCTCATTGTGGCTAATAAATTGACAGCTGCTGTCAGGTGGCCATAAACACCTCCGTAAAATGCAGTTGTTGCGTCCTTACCATGTGAAGCTTTTAGCAATTGGACTCCTCCAGGATGTTGATCCATAAATGGGGTAATATCATGAATTATATTTTGGATAACAATATAGATCCGATCCTTGTTTGCCGAGGATGCAATTATATTCTTAAAGTCCTTGGGGCTGATCAAAGGTAACTTTGAAATAGGCGTACCCCAGTTGAGCTGACTTTTCGTTCGATTAATAATACGCTGCCGTTGTTGAAGGTTCAAATGAACAACGAGATTATCGGGTGTTCTACATAGCTCATAAACAACACCCATTTTTTCCAAAGTCCATAAAAACCACTTGGTTGGGTCATAAGTTAAAAAGCCATTGTCGCAGCGATAATCATGGGGAAATTCGTGATGATAGTTTTGGTAAGATTGACCATAGGTCAACAACGAGACCAAGGGATTCTGGCAGTTTTGAGACGAGTTCTTATCATTGAAAGGTTGAGTTGGGATCGTTACTTGTATGTGTTTCAAGTGACAAACGGACTCAGTACTTAATAGAGACTGCTGGCATAAAAACATCCTCAAAATACCAGGATATAGTAACCCGTGCATGACACTGTCATGACATACAAATCTCGTAACCAATACTGGAATCAAGAGTGTAGTTATGACAAACCAAAAAACATATGTTCGTTGCTGCCAGGCTAACAAGCTTTTCAAACTTTCATTATACTCTTCCTGACAAATATCTTCTTCTGCTGCAAACTCATTGTCTTGATCAAAATCAGCGTTTAATCCAACAACCTCATTCCGTATCGAGCTGCCATCTCCCTTCTCTTCACTCCCCAATTTTTGTTGCTCTTGTCCTCCTTTATTCAAAGGAAACTCCTGCTCCAAAAAATCAGTGTAAAATTTTGTAACCTTTGGTTTTCGCAACAACCATCCATAATGACTATACAAAAAACCTCTTTTAATCAGGTACGGGTCGCGCTCCGTATCCTCGGTAAACCTGTGATGCGCTCTGTGTAGCGCGGCCCACCATCTTATCGAGCCCAACCCACAAGAACTTCCAACGATTGCAAAAATGTACTTTAGCACATTGAACCGAATCTTGAACGAGTTGTGAGCAAAATACTTGTGATAACCGGCTGTAAATGCAAGCATAGTGATATTATAGTAAAGTATAGTAAAATACAACGTTATCTGATTTGTCGGTAGAATACTCTCTTCAAAATAAACCAAATAACAGAATCCCAAAAGGGGAAGTATTACAGCAGTGAACAAGTGCGTATAGTTGATCCTCTTGACAAAGTCCCTTTTCCTTTTCTTCATCTCGTGTATACGCGTGTTTTTCATTTTTTGAGCTTGGTTCATCAAATGTTGCGAGGTAGACGAATTCAGGAGAGTCAAAGAGCTCGCAACCTTCCTTCGTTGTATCTTCATGCCCTTCCCCAAAGTTTCGTCTCTCACTCTCCTTTTCTCATCCGCCTGTACCATCCTTAACCACGTAATCTCAATATACGTTTCCTACTATCTATACCTCTTATCAAACACCTCTCACACAAAAAATGCAAAAGTTACAAAAACAAAGCCCCAATCTACTCCGTTATCAACTCAATCTTCACCCTGGAGTTAAGCAAAGTTGCAATTGCAAAATTGAAAATTGAAAAAATAATAAAAAAATATTCAGGTCGTGCCAGAATCAGACGAAAAAAGAGTTCTTGACACTGAGGTCGTGTGTAAGGGACCAAACTCAAATTGTGGTTTTCTTTTTTTTTCAACCGCTGGAGAAAAAAAGTAAACCCATACATACTACTAAACAATAGTAAAGAAATAGAGACAGAGTTATAAACAAGCCAGGTTGATAGCTCGGAGTATTTGGATACTGTGTAATCTGGGTGCTTTTATTTGGAATTGGTTTTTGTTAGTCTAGAGTCTGGTGCGAAGCTCATAGAAGAGAGTGTGAGCGTGAGTGAGTGAGCGTGAGTGAGTGAGTGAGTGAGAGTGAGTGAGAGAGAAGGAGATAAAATGTTTCAGAGAAATGGATTTCCAGTGATTTCCTATTCTCCAACGGATATAACGATCCCACAATCTATTTATGACAAGATCCCCAATCTTGAAGAGTACAAGAAGCTCAAGGAGGCAGAGAAGAAAATCGATCTTTTGATATCTAGAAAAGCGTTGGATTTCCAAGCCATTCAGCAAAAGACAATCCACCCTTTTGAGATTAAACCAAGTACGGGATTGTTAAGAGTGTTTGTATATAACACATGCGAGAACCAACCTTGGCAGAAACAGTTATTGCAGCAGCAGGGAAAACCATTACCGGACCCAACGACCGAATCCACATGGACATTGAGAGTTGAAGGTAAATTTATTAACGACAACAAAGCCGATATTGCTGATTTTAATGATTTGAAATTTAGCTCGTTTTTATCAGCAATTTCCATAGACTTGCTTCCAAATGAGCATTATCCAAACTTGCAAGAATCTCAGACAAACATCATCGAATGGAGAGATGACGATCTAAACAATGTGAATAGAAACCCCACCGGCAGTAATTCCAGTTTCGATGGAATGGATGTAAAGAGAAGTGGTATTTTCAACATAAAAGTGAAGATTGCGCTACTAGTCAAGAGCTATACATCAAAAATAAGAGTCTCGGATGAGATGTCACAATTTATTGGCAAACTTGAATGTACTCAGCAAGAAGTGATGTACACAATTTGGAATTATGTTTTGTGGCATAAACTTTTCAAAGATACCGATCAATATGCGCCTGCTGCGACAGTTGACAATGGCGCCGATTTATCAAACACAATGAGCGATAAGAGTGCCAACACCAACGACGACCCCACACTTGCACAAGCGGACAACACATTGTTCAACCTTTTAAAAGTTCGCGAATTTACATTTAAGGATTTGTATAGATTAATTCAACCACATTTCAGGCCAAGAGAACCAATAATGTTAGATTATGAGGTGGATACAAGAAAGTCTACCACTTTAGGCGATTTAGTTTTGGATATCCCTATCGAATTGCCAGTTAATCTTTCAAAAGCTCAAAAGGAATTGTTAGACTTGAATAAGAGTGCATTTGAAAATTTGTCACAACATGACTCTGCTATCGAAAAATTGAATCAAAAGATATCATTAGCTATAATTGCTTTGAGAAATGCAAACTCACGAGAAATATTCTACGATGAGTTGAGTAAAGATCCAGTAGGATTTATAGAAAAATGGGTGGAAAGTCAATCGGAAACATTGAAGGCTTTGAAAAGTGATGAAGGTTACGACGAGGAAACGGTAAGAAGAGCTCAATATTTCATTGATAATGAAGATTTGATCAAGGAGAAAATTGACCTTTTATTTGGATCGAGTAAGTTTTGAAGCACGCATATTTAACTTTTTTACTTTGTATAATCATGTATTAATATCAGAAACAAATTTTTTTTTTTTTTCTTCTTTTGGAATCCATTTTTCACTCAAAATACTCTTCATCATCATCGTCGTTTTTATCGTCCATTTGTGCCTGGTCATCGACGTAATTATCATCATCCTCAGCGCCGTTATTGCTAATCCATTTATCTGAACTATCAAATACATCGTCATATAGTTCAATAGCTCTCCTTTCGTTATAATCAACCTTTTTTTTCTTGAGTCTGGAAGAACTCGTCAACTCCTCTTGTTTTTGTAGCAAGGGAAGCATATTTGATAAGTATTTATGTAACCTGGATGCTGCTTTTAAAGTCACTGGTGGTTTTAATGTATTTCTGCCCTCATTGATTTTGTCTTGGAGATAATTAATAAAATCACCCAATTCTTTACAATTTGAAGCAACCTCGTACCAATGTCCTTTTTTCATCTCCTCCTTCTCCTCCTCCTCCTCCTCTTCCTCCTCCTCCTCTTCCTCCTCCTCTTCTTCTTCTTCTACTGATTTATGCATTTCCTCGCCTTTCTCATCAAATTCAACTCCTTCCTCATTCGATGCTTCTGTAAGCATCTTGTAAACATCTTGTAAATACAACTTGAAGCTAGACGGGAGCGCACTCCCTATATTTATCTCCAAACCTTTCCAAACGCTTGTCATTTTCTTTACAGAAGCAAGGCCTCCTGTATTTTCATCGGCTGTGCGACATAAATAAAACATACCACCACGAAAGCCAAGATCACCTACAAGTTGATCAATCAAACGTAAGTTCATAGAGTGTAATGTAGGATCAGACATGGGATCAACGTACTTCAAATCCTCCTCGGTTGATTTCATCTTCGATAAACGTTTCTCCGTTTTAAGCTTCATTTCTTGGCAATCATCCGCTCCACAGATTACCACCCTTGCCGCATAGTAGGTGTTCTTTTCTCCTGGCATCTCTTGGGCTTGCACGTTTTGAGCTATATAGTTCCTAAGCGTTTCCGAGGTAGACAAAGACCACTGGGCCAATGTTCTTAACATTATCAATCTGTCAATCGGACGTTGTATTCCTGCTAAACCTTTTGTTTCAAACTCACTTGTGTAAAAAGGATTAAATGTTGTCACAAATTCACATTCTTTTGGAAAGCTATCGATTAAAATGTCTGGGTGTGCCAAATCAACAGGAGAACCAGGATGGTAGACTTCAGATTCTGCGCAACGGAAAGTTTTCCATTCAATGGGCATTCTTAATTTATTAGTCTGTGGTTTTAGCTCCATTATGGCACTGGTTGTACTCTGAACTGCTTTTTTCCTATTTAGCACCAAAGTTAACAATTTATTGAATAAATCATTCATTTCTCTGGAGATATAATTATTATTGTATTCTAGATTTTCTAATCCATTCTCAACTCCATCATGGCCATTGCTAACTGCAACAAGGCCAAGACCCTCTTCAAAATCTTTGGGACCCAAATTCAGTGCCATGGGAATGAGGTCCTTGAATTTGTTCAAGTAGGCAATTATGAATATAATATCTTGGGCAAATGATGATTTTCTAACAGGGTATCCCAAGGCTAGTAGGTTAAAATCACTTTCGCTTTCAATATCGTTGGCTGCAAATGAGTCTCTCATAAAGCTTATGGGTACTAGTGGTGAGGGTAATGCTTTCATACCGCCTCTTTTTGAAGCCTCGGCAGACTCAGGTTTGCGGATTAAATGCGGTGAAAAGCGATTTGTGTGGCCGTCTTTCTTTTCCGATTGAAGAACCTCGGGGTGTTGTAGCAGTTGCAGTTGCAGTTGCTGCTGCAGCGGCAGCAGCAGTGCCAATGACGAAGTTGCTTTGGGAAGCTTCAATACAAGTTTAAGCGGCTTAATTTCGTTGGTGTGGGTTTCTGCCAGTTCAGGGCTTAGCAGCAATACATCATTTTCTTGGGTATTTTTCCCTGAATTGGTCAATTCATTCGTAGTTGTTGTTGTTGTTGCTGGTTGTTGTGGTGGTGGTGGTGGTGATTTCTTTATTGGAGCAAAATTGAGTATGGATTGTTGCTTGTTCCTGATTGAAGCCAGGGTTATTCGGCCACGAGGTACTTTGGAAACACCCTTCCCACCTCTACATCCAGGCCCTTCAAGAGGCTGTTGATCAAAACGAAACCTAGACATTATTGACTCGTTATAGTTTTGCGACGATGAAGTTTCTAGTGGAGTAGTTCTTGTACTTGTAGCGATATGCTTGCGAGGACGGCCAAGCCTTTCCGTCTTTAGTCTAGGATGGTAGGGCACTAGTTTGATACTAGAGAAAGTAGTCTTACTACTAGGGGTCTTTACTTCAGGAGTAGCAGCAGTAGCCGCTAGCAGGTTTGCTGGGTGTGGAATGGGTACTGATGGTTGAAATTGGGCTCCACCTTTAATCTCTCGCTTGACACCGTGAATGATATTCTCGTCTTCTTCAACGGACAGCAGTATCTCCAAGTTTTGACGTGACAAAAAATCTAGCTTGACTAGATCTGATGACTGAACGAAATCAAAGGAGGGCAATTTTTCAAACTCTGGATCAATTTCCATCACTTTTGTAAAGTACTATTGTTTTTTTGGTTTTTTTTTAATCAAACCTTTCAATGTATACACTAGCGACACTAGCGACACTAGCGACACTAGCGAGCGAAGCGAGCTAGTGGAGCAGTACTGACTGGCACTAGCGAGCGAAGCGAGCTAGTGGACCAGTACTGAACGACACTATCGACCAGAGCGAGCTAGTGGACCAGTACTGAACGACACTATCGGCCAGAGCGAGCGAAGCGACCAATGCTGTCTAGCCTCGACAGTAGCCAAAACTGTCTAACAGTAGCCAATGCTGTTTAGCCTCTACAGTGGCCAAAACTGTCCAGCCTCTACAGTGGCCAATGCTGTCTAGCCTTTACAGTGGCCAATGCTGTCTAGCCTTTACAGTGGCCTATGCTGTCTAGCCTCTACAGTAGCCAATGCTGTCTAGCCTCTACAGTGGCCTATGCTGTCTAGCCTCTACAATAGCCAAAACTGTCTAGCCTCGACAGTAGCCAAAGCTGTCTAGCCATATTTATCTCTACGGTTTGCTGCTATCTTATCCATCCACTTACCTCTCCTCCTCGGCATTGTATCCTCATTGTAAAATAGTGTCGTCACTCGCGCTGGTTCATGGTGTCAGTCAGTACTGCTCTGCTCCACTAGCTCGCTCTGCTCGCCAGTGTCGCTAGTGTCGCTAGTGTCGCTCTGCGCCAAATTTTCTTTAAGGAAGCAAAAAAAATCTTTTTCATAGCAACGCGTCTCATTTATCACTTTGTTTTCCATCTAACATTTACTAGTCAGCGTGTATCTATAATAATGTCAGAGTATGGTACTTTTGGTAACTACGGGGGCAACTACGGAGATGGTGGCTTCGCAAATACTGGCTATCAGGGCGGCGGGTTCAACAATGAAGGTGAGTCACAATCGACTAAGCAACAAGTACGTTCGAGTCTCACCCCAGTCACGATTAAGCAGATTTTAGAGGCTTCTCAGCCAAAACCAGACGGAGACTTTATAGTCAATAATGTCACTTTGAATATGGTGAGCTTTATAGGGGTTGTTCGCAAGCTAGACGGACAGGGTATGAGTATAGTGATCATGGTTGAAGACGGAACTGGCTCTATCGAAGTTCGAAAATGGGTTGACGAAAATAATAGCTCCATCGAACAAGAGATGGAGAAGTATCTGGGATTCTTGAACAAGTACGTTTTCATTGGCGGGTCCCTAAAGACACACATGACAAAGAAAAGTATACAGAATGCAGCAATCTCGCCAATTGAGGATAGCAATCAGATCATATATCACCACTTGAGCGCTATTGATCACCATTTAAAAAGTCAAGGTGTTCCAAAAAGTAGCGGCTCAAATACAAGTAACTCACTATTTGTCAAGGACGACTCTAGTAATTCATTAGTGGACAAAATATTTGATTTCATTCGCGAGGAGAGTAAAACGATGCAAGAAGGTGTTCCTCTTCAATTTATTGCCCAAAAATTAGGAATTGAACAAGATGTGGCATTGAAAGAATGCAATGAATTGATTGAAAATGGTAGAGTTTATCTCGGCTATAATGACGGAGGGTATATTGCAATTTAGAAATGAAAAAAATGAAAAAATGAAACAAAAAAAAAAAAAAGAAAAGGTTGTATACTTTCAAACTAGTTACTTATACGAATGCTGTAACTTAGAACTGAAGAAGGCATCCCATAGATCACTAATGGTTACGTTTTCTCCTTGGAAAAGACTTTTCTTACCAACCCAATTTTCAGCCCCTTCGTTGCTCATCATAGTTAATGAGTCTGCGACATTTATATCCAACTCATTTATGGTGGCGTATTTCTTCTTCTTTTTGTTGTTTTTGTCAATCAATTTTAGTCTTTTGTTCGTTGCTGTGATTATCACACTATCCTCTACTGTGTTTTCTATTGAAAACATCCATATTGTAGTTGGACGCGTTTGACCGATTCTATGAATTCTGGAAATGGCTTGTAATTCCAACGAAGTATTGATTAATGGTTCACATAAAAAGACATGGGTCGCATTAACCAAGGTTAATCCACTTGCTTGCGCATTGGCATTCAACAAAAAACAAGTAACCTTGTTTTTGGGGTCCTTGAAATACTCAACGGACTCAACCCGTGCCTTCTTGCGTCCTCGACCAGTATCTTCGTTCAAGGAACCATCAAACCCAATGTAGGATACTTCCACAGACTTAAGGGCGCTACCAATGATGTATAGCATATCTTGCCATTGACTATAGATGAGAATTTGCACACTAGGATCTTTTCTCTTCAAGTACAATACTTGCTTTGTTATCATATCCACTTTTGAGCTAAACGATGAATTCAATTCGATTTCGTGGATTTCTTGCACAACATTTTGGTCGAGCGACTTGTATATGCTATTCAAACCAGCACTCAAAGTATGTTGAACGTCATGCACTTCCGTTGCTTTCAAAACCAGGGCATTTCTTGTGAAATTGTGCACTGAATCCCCATCAATGTTTGTTTTGCACATGGGGCAGACTCGCGCGCTCCTCAACCAATGCTGTAGACATTCTGTACAGTACTTGTGACCACACTTTGTGAGGGAACCAACCGTGATCTCAGATTGACAAATAATACAAAGCATAGTGCTTTCTTCACCAGTTTGCATTTGTGACTCTTTAACTAGTTCGGAGAGATATCTCAACCTAGCAACGGCTGCATCCATTGAGCGATTTGTCTGTAAAAATTTGGACTTGTATGTGAGCAAACGGCTTTCTAAAACAGAGGTCTTTAGCCGTTCTCTATCCAAGTAGTCATATTTTGGAGCCGCAACTGAATCCGAAATTTGCTGAAGTTGCTTATAATACTCGATTCTTGCATTAAACACTGCATTACAATTTACATTGACCTCTTTGTGCACTAATGCATGAGCCAACTTTTGATTCTCAAAAAGTGTCCGTACCTTTTGAGCAATTGCCTGGAAAATCTCGAGTTCTGCTTTAGATCTAGACGAATAAGATTCTTTTAATTCATTCTCTATGGATCCCAACTCGGTTATCAAGCTTGTAAAGTCTGAATTGACTTGATCATTGGGTGTTGCCGTTGCTGTTGCTGTTGCTGTTGCTGTTGCTGTTGCTGTTGCACTTTTGACACTGAGGATTTTCTCGGAGGAACCATGAATCAAGTTTTTCCTCTCTACTAGATATTTGTCAACAACACTTAATGCATGCTCAATAGCCTCTTGACTTTTTAAACCTTTTTCGTAATCGTTATCTTCTGGGTTGGTACCTCTATCACTAACAGGTTCACAAAGCGTATCAAACAAGATCTTAAAACTTGCATTGATGTTTTCTGCATTCACATTCAACAGCCGAAGGAGTCTTTCTAACTTGCTGACAAACTGACTCACGGTAGAGTTAATAATAAGGTTTTTTAGCGACTCGATATTCATCAAGGGAACTAAATTGAAAAATTTCTTTGACGTTTTGGGTAACAAACTTTCCCCATCGTCAATGAATGAACTGTTCCAAGATCGATATAAACCACGAGTAATTATCCTCGATTCCAACACTTTCTGCAATTGTTTAACGCTCAGTTTCAATATCTTGGCTCGAATTTCTTCAGCCAACTCATAATACTTTGTTTCATTTTTCTCATATGAGCCAAGGTCAACGTTTTCATGTTTCAAAGCAAACTCGGAAGCCGGTACCAAGGTCATAATCGATGCAAGCTCATCAGCTCTCTCTTCGCCTTTGTACTTGTCAAAACTATCAGACAAGAGTGCTTTATAGTCAACTGCAACTTTGTATTTAGCAATGAGCTCTTGAAATTCCTTATCGTGAAGCTGGAAATTTGCAGAAGCAAATAAAAAGTAGAATCTATGCAAGATCAATAACCAATTTCTTAACCGAACTCTGGCTCCAGTAATCCGAGATTCCGCATAATTTTCACCTTCATTAGGCTTCAGTTCACTTGTGTTGATTTTCCCAATTTCATCGTCATCTTCTGCTAGCTCACTATCAGCTTTTTCACGATAATCCTTTATGTATTTTTTCAATATAACTTCAAGACGATGGGTAATTCTTCTTGCCTCAATAATCCCCATTTTCAAGTATGCAGCTGCAGCCGCGGGGTAGTAAACAAACTCTAAAAACTCCGATAGTTGGGAAAGCACCTCAAGCTTTGTCCTCTCTTTATCAATGACTTTCCCGTACAGTTCGCTCATCATACTCTCGAGCAAACTATCAAGTGGCTTCAATGTTTCAACAAAATACCCGTGTCCCTTCGAAAAATTTGCGCGTCTTAACTTTCGTGATTTTAAATTCAAGTTACCCACTTGGGGAGAACAGCAAATTTGCCTCAACTTGACTAGCCAACTCTTCATAATTTGTATTAGGGTCGGTGACATTTCCCAATCATTTCTAACAGGGTTTCCGTCCTTATCTAATCCAATAGCTTCCAAGCACTCTGAAAATTTTCCATCATAAAAATCTTGCTCAATAGGTGTAAATGAAGTAGTTAAAAGAATTCTATTTTGTTCAGGTAGCCTGATATCGTTGTGGACCATAGCTTTCGTATGCCGTATAGAGAGTTCTGACCAGAAATCGACAAATTCTTGGCGATTGCTAATCAAAAACTCCCACGAAATTTCCCCAATATCAACGTCGAATGGATAGAAATGAAGAAACCTCAAGTATGAAAACAAATCTTGCAAATCCTTTTTGATTGGTGTTCCAGATACACCCCATGCATGAAACCTGGGTATCATTTCTGCACTTTTGAAAGCTTTAGACACACTCAGAGAAACCATTTGCACTTCATCCAAAATAATTCTCCAAAACTGTATCAACATTAAAGGACACTCGTAATCATTCTTTCTGTACCAATTCGGAAGTTTGTTGTGTTTCAAAGCCAATGCAATTTCATCTTGTAAAGCTTTTTCGTAATCAGTTTCAACTTGTCCCTCTTCTGACTTGGCATTGGGTTGACGTTTGTAATTTCTTAGTTCACTTATTTGAAAGTAGTCACGATACTTTTGAGAATATGTCTCATCCGATAAAGTTTCAACTGTACCTGAACTGGAATTTTTAGATGCTGATTCTTTTTCATTTTCCTCTTCATCGTTATCATAGTCATAAAGTGTCTCTCTTTTAGCTGCACGTGTTTTTCTCAAATTTTTCGAGTATTTTGCATAGTCCAACTCTCTAGAAATTACCTGGTAGGTTGTGAAAACTACGTCAAACTTTCTCAAATATTCTGCAATTATTGCCGGTTTATTTTCAAACATTGGGTAATGTCCAACACCTTTGTATTCTGTGATAGTTAACGATGGAGCCAAGTTCACAATCTCGTTTTGCCATTGCTTGAGTATTGAGCTTGGAGCAATAATAAGAGTTGTTCTTCCTTTTATTATTGTTTTAAAATCTCCTATGGAGCTTAGTTGAAGCCTTAGCCTTTGGTCAATTTCATGCACCGGCCTTGGATTTAGTAGAATTAATGATGTGCATTCAACAGTTTTTCCCAACCCCATCTCTTCGTTCAAAAGTCCCCTGGAAGGTAGTATGATGGGATACGTGTCTTTATCCTCTTTCAGAAGGTAATCTGATAAGAACAACCGTAGTTGTACAAGTGTGGAGAGATGACAGGTTAACTCATTGAAATATAGTGTTCTTCCTCGAAACTCGACTTCTTTCCATCCGTACCAAATTTTGTTCATCATTTTTACCACTGTACTGGGATCATCCAAATACTCCTTCTTCAAGAAGGGTTCCTGTATACACCTATTGGTTTCGCAGCTGTAGATTGCACTTTCTTTTGAGAGCATCCAATTCACGCTTTTTTTTTGAAAATTTAGCAAACGCGTCTCTAGCTCGGGAATATCAAAGTCCCCTTCAAAATTTGGCATGCTTTCAGTCCTTTCGCATATGCTGTGGTAGAAAAGCTCAACAGTAGCAGCATCTGTAGGTTTTGTTGGGGAAACTCCGCCTTTAACAATATTTCTTATAATTCTCAGAATCTCCTTTGTTACAGTATTTTGAAAGTGCACAATGTAACAAACACGATAGCTCAAGACCAATGTGATAAGACCCTTTTCAATCTTCAAGTGAAGCTTGACACCTCCAATTAGTCCGTATTTTTCCTTTGTTTGATTCAACAAGTATATTTCATCGCGGATAGACTCTTGAGCAGCAGCACAAAAGGGATCGCCTATTTCCACTAAAGGGTCCTTCTTATTGACACCCCATTTTATAATTAATCGGCCACCTTTTTCAAACTTGACTTTAGTATAGCTGTCATCAATATCAAGATCACAAGAAAATGATGTTGAACAAATACCTGAAAACTCTACCGTTTTGCAAACTAGCTCAATCTCTTCCTGGGGTTCCAGAGAAAGGTTTATTCGATTCCTCAATTTCCTTCGTTTGACAGATCCATTGCCATTTTTCTGAACAAGAATTTGCTCTTGCAAACATTTCGAAATATTGCTCTCATATATCTTATCTATGGGCATCTCTTATAATGGACACTAGATACCCGGATACCTCGATACCCGACGCTCTATATCTGAGTATACAAAGCTTATCACTTCACTTAGATACAATAGTGGAAAAAAAAAAAGTATGGAGATCAGATTTAAGGGAAAGAAGAAAAAAAAGAAAGCTGAAAAGTTGGAGCTACAGCGAAAAGCGATAGTAAATCTAATGCCGTGCAATTGATAAGGGACGATGACGAGATCTCTGATAGAGCATGCGGGGGGCAACTAAGTTTTAGCTTTTTTAAACACTTTATACATCTTCTTAGATTTCAGAACATTATTTCTTTTAGCGCTTTCTGCTAATATTCTTTCTGCTTGATCTCCATGTCGGAGTCTCTTGCCACCTTTCAGGCCATCTTCTTTGAAAGCATAATCTAAGCTAATTTTTGAATTCATCAAAATTGTACTATTCAATTTTTCAATCACCTTATCGCTTGTTTCGAAATCTGCAAATGTAACAAATCCAAACCCCATAGACTTACCCTCGGGATCTCTTTTTATTGTAGGTTGTCTTATAACAGTGCCGAATTTCAGAAAAGTTTGTAGTAGGAACTTCTCGTCAATCAAGGGGTTCAAATTATTAACAAATACTTTTGCTCCAACGTCAACAAATTTCTCATTTAATAAATCCAGTTTCGTATTGATAAAAGTGCCCACCGATCTCTGTTGTTGAGCCGGCTGCTTGAAATCCAATTCTTTCAATTTCAATAGTTTTCCATAGAGTCTGACCCCACGTAGAATATCCTCTGTGTACTTGGCATCTCGTGCATTTTTAAACTCTACAAACCCATATCCTTGGTGCGTTTTGTGAATTCGATCTTTTGGCATAATCAAGTTTTTGACCGGTCCAAATTGGACAAACAATTCGTACATCAACACTTCCAGACATTGGGGGTCCAAGTTACCAAAATACAAAGATGCCTCGATGTTTCTCTCGGAATCAGGAAGTTTCTTAAACACTGACGCCATCAAGAAACTGTGCTTCTATCGAGATGGCCCCATTGAGATGAGATGAGATGCTCATCTTATTCTTTTTTTTTTTTTGCTCCCTTCTTCCCCAGACTTTTATTGCATTTGTAGAACTTACAAAGAGACTCGTAAGGGACATCCTACGAAGAATATATAAGAAACACCCCATGGGGCAGGAAGATATACTCACCAATGGTACAAAGAGATACTCACCAGTCAGCGAACCGATGAGTTTGGATGTCATTGGCTAGTACAAAAATACAATCTAAAATATTTTATCTTTTTCATTTCAATCTACGTCATGTACATCTACAGTTTCTCCAACACTTGGTATATCGGAAGCAGCTTCAGTATTGCTTGCAATTGGGGAGGTACTTGCGATATCTATAGGTAAGGAGAATTTGCTGACAACTAAATTCTTCAGTGTGTGCTCCTCGGGCCCGCTATCGGAGTCATCATCATCATCCTTGTTGCTCAAAGAATCCTCGCTTTCAGAAGAGTCCTCTTCTCCTGCATCACTCAAGCCGTATGTGTATGCTTTTTTCTCGTCCACTACTCTGTCCTTCAAAACGTCTCCCTCCTCCTGGGTAATGTAAATTGTTGGGTACTCCAAGACAACTTTATTTTTCAAGGCTGAATTTAGCGTTGAATTAGAATCCAAGGCTAAAACCGAGTCTTTTGGTTGGTTAATTACATTCTTCAAGTAAAATCGTAAGCTATCTTTGTTCGATATACCGTGACTGCTCAAGATATTAATAGGTACAATCTCCTTTAAAGTCAAGTTTTCTTTTAAGCGAAAACTAAGAAATCTGGTAACTTCCTTTGCTTGACCATCAAAAAGTATCCACTCAACTGTCCAAACAAAACAATTGAGTCTTTTTTCATAGCCGGTTTTATTGGACACGGATCTCAGCATTCCCGAGGGAAGTTGAACGACAAGTGTATTATCGCGTTTGATTTGGGTAGGAGGATCATGCAAAAAGGTTTTGCAAACAGACAATTTTCTCTTATCCTTGTCTAGTCCATTTTCATAAAAACTCTTGAACCTTTTCCTATTCTGAAAGTGATCATTTCTACTTCTTTTGAAAATATTTTTAGCACTCACCTTGATATCCTCTTTAGACAAATGAACTTGCCTGTCAACAGTCTGCAAAAAGCTATAGTCTCGGTTCAAATGGACAGGGTTTGAAGTCAATTCTTCTTGCTTAACAAATCGAGTCACATCGACTTTCCCAGTACAGGTTTGCTTGGTTTGATGAGTCTTGTAACACAGTAAAGAGCAAGTTTTAAAAGCACATATGGGACAAGTATATTTCGACCGATTACTCAAACATATCATACATTGTATCTGGGGCTCCTCCATCAATACCACGCTACTTCTCTTCTTATCATACAAACCTTTCCCTTCATTTTTCAAGCTTATTGTATAGAAGAGATGCTCATTAAATTTTCCTTCTTTTTTTTTCACTCACCAAATTCAACTACAATTTTTTTTTTTTTTTTTTTTTTTTCATTTCATTTCATTTCACTTCTTCAAGTTAGTTACCAACCCCATTGAGTAAGATGTCGACTCTTATGATTCGAATGAGGGCTTGTCTGGCGCCTTCATATGCTATAAGAACATTCAAACAAAGGACGGTCAATAAACTTGTTGAAGTACAGTTGCTAACAGATGTACCAAATATAGGAGTTAAAGGTCAGGTGTTGAATGTCAAGCCAGGATTTATGAGGAACTATTTACACGTTGACAACAAAGCTTGTTATATTACGCCGAAAACGCCACCAAGACTACCAGTTGTTGATATTGAGATGATTCGTGCAAGGCAAAGGAAGGAGAAACTCGAGAAAGAAGAAGCACAGAAACAAAGTAATGCACAAGCGCAAGCTCAGTCAGGGGCAGGGGCAGATGCAGATGCAAAAGCAGAGGCAGAGCAAGGTCCAATGTCATTTTCAGAACTTTCTGATCTTTTCAATATTATGAAATCTCCCACGAAAAAGAGTAATCAAGTGAAACCGGAATTGCAGATTCAGTCTAATCCATACAAGTCAGAAACAGCTATTCCGGGATTTGAAGAAGTAATAGACGTTCGATACAAGTCGATAAACGATGTTGTTGTCAAATTGCCCAAGTTGATAACTCTCCAAGCTTCAGAGATGCCAATTGGCAGGAGATTCATTGCCAAATATATTTCAGAGAAAAGTGGGTTTGCTGTAGACCCATATATTTTACATCTAAGCTATATTGATACTCCAGATCAGGAAATCAAGGAGATTAATGAGGTGGGAAGATACAATGTCAAGATCACTTCTGACAAGGAAAATATCACGCACACTAGAATTTTAGAAATTGAGTAAACGTGAATTCTGAACTTGCTTATGGTGAGAGAAATTTGGTGCCAATGAACTTGCTTATGACCCAAGAAACGTTGGTGTCAGCAGTATGATAGTAAGATTGGACCCCATATATCCAAGTGGAAAAATAAGGTGTTCTAAGCTGTAAATAGAAAACGAACTGAAACGAAGGACGAGACAATGCCCTCATTTCCATTCACTAGCGTCTCCTTCGGCTCCGCTAGTGTCATTATTTCTTGCCACTTCCTCTATCTCCTTGCCACTTTCTCTATTGTCTTTACCATCGCTTCCATCAGCGCCACCTTTGACTCCTGCTGGTGTTTACCTTGAAAACCCTTTTCTTTCATCTCTTCATCTCTTTATCACTGTTGAACCAATACTTCAGAGCTACCAGTTGTAGGCCAATATCAATGATCTTTAATAAGAAGGAGCCCATTGCTCTTCACTAAATACCATTTGCCATTTATTTATTAACCACTTTTTGAACTTGGAGATTATGACCTTACAGTATAGTGCTGCGAGGACCTCGGTTGCTTCAAGGAGAAGCCCCTCAAAGTCGCCTATAAAAAAATTCCAAAGGGATGTTAAGCGGATGCTTCCTTGCCAGAGAGTTTATCAAGAAAATGTACTAAAGAAACTGCTTCCATCATCATCACCATCTTCCTCCTCCTCCTCTTCTTCGCCTGCTAAAGAGAACAAGGAGAAACTAAAAGTGACAGATTATAATGTGCAGCTAGACTATCAGCTATCATCTAAGGAAGATGTGGTTGTTGCGATCAACACAATACTCACAAATCGATGGTCTGAATCGACAGAGCTTCATGATAAGTACAGATTGAACCATTTAAAAGGAACTAGTTTAGAGGAAGTTATCTTTCAAATCAAAAATTTGTCAAGTAGCTCAAAAGCAGAACTTGTCACATTTAGACAATCACTACCATCGGGGGTAGTTACTGTAACTCAGCTATACTCTATTTTCCATACCCAAGGAAACACGTTTGTTGATAAGTCATTAGAGTTGAGTATACGACGAGGCATTGTTCGGAAATTCATTATTAGTAATGCTTCTCCTGTGATACTGAGATCTTTGAATGCTTTTCAACTGAAGAAAGTTACCTATGGATTTGAAAATGTTGAAATAGTTGCTTTAAGTAAGCATTTTGATAAGGTTATAGAAGAGTCTGTCAACGCCATGAAAGCCAAAAACGACGAAGAAGCTAGAGGAGTCGTAAGCAGCCTTGAGAAGTTTCATGACTTTGTCAGGTTGAATCCACAGGAAATGTTCATATCTTCTTTTCATTTTACAGAGGCAGATATTTCAAATTTGATGCGCTTGGGTTATATAACGCTTACGTCTAATCATTTCAACGAGCAAGAAAGTCACTATTCAATTGCATATCCTGGGTGCGGAACTTTCCTCAAGTTAGTAAACGAGTGCAAGATATGGCTAGTAAAAGCTTTAAATAAGACAAAGTATAAAGAATTATTAGAGGACGAACTATTCCGTAGATGGCTGGGTGTAAATCCTGAAGGAGATCCAAAGTTGAATAATTTTCGCAAACCATATTTCGGTTATGATTTGCATTGGGTATTGGCTGATGCTTTGGGGTGTGGTATAATTGAAGTTTTTAATACTCCCGTGGGGAGAGGATGGAGATTAACTGGTAAATTATAAGTCTATTCAATTACAACAAACAGCGTATATTTACATAAATATCAAAAGGACCTTCAATGAGGCAACGAAAAAATACACACACACACATATATATATATATATATGCTAACTCTCCCTCCCTATCTCTCTCTCTCTCTACATCCTAACTTTTTGTTTTCTTTGCATCTTCTTTTGTTTCCTCTCTTGAGCCCTCTTTTCGGCTTTCAATTGGTCTTCTCTAGACATGTTTCTTAACTTATCTCTTTCCTCTCTCTTCAACTTAGCTTGCTCTTCAGCTAATTTTTCATCTTTAGCTTCCTGCTCGATTTTCTTCAATTTCTCGATTTCAAATTCTCTAGTCTTGACTATTTTTCTGATTGTTTCTGGTCTGAAAGTGATACTTTGATCGGACAATTTGTCAACAATGTTAAAAACAGCTTCAAGTACATTGCTAATAACTTTTAGAGCCTCTTTATTATTTGTCAATTTCAATTCAATGACTACTCTTCTATTGGGGATAAACTCTCTCAAGTTTTCGGGCTTGATAGTGGGTTGATCAGTGAAGGCAATAAATTTGACGTATGAAGCGCTTTGCAAAGTTAATGCTTGCTTCAAGTCATTTGTGGTGATTTTTTCTTGAAATTCATTAGCTTCACTCATGTAAACAAAACTTTGAGGCAAAACTTGTGAATCGGTAGTTTTACACAAGGATAGGAAATAGTTCAATTTTCTAGCTTCGTCCATACCCAATTTGGAAACAATTGAAGATATGAAATTATCATACTTTCCCAGTGGGGTAATGATGATGTCAACTTTGTCCACTGGTGAACGAACACTAGATGTAAATATACTAAAACAATACTCCATTATCCAAAGAAATACATTTTGTCTTGGAGCCAAGGTGAACTTCAAATCAACTTTTGCAATATTTAAGCGTCCTGTGGCGTATGAGGCATAATTTTCTGAGCTGTCCTTAACGTAAAGTCTATTTGGCAAAACTCCAAATTGGAAAAATTGTTTTTTAAATGTTGGTTCAATAGCTTTCAAAAAACTAATAACCTTGCTCTTATTGTATAAGTCGCCGGCTTTATATAATAACACAAATAAGAGAATGAACCCGATAGTGAAAAACTCTAATCTCCAGTCTCTTATCGCAGCTCTTTGCCAAATAGACATGGCTTTAAGCTCTTCCAAGGTAAGATCACTCGCTCTAGAAACAATTATTAAAGAGTGGGTTAGTAATAGCTACGAGGTGCAGCAATTGGGGGATTAGAGCAAAAAAAAAAAGGGGGGTATTAGTTAACATACTTATTAGGTACACCTAAAGCAACGTATTTTGACAAAAACTCAAACAACATCTCGAATGAACCACGATTTGTTTCCTATTTTCCAATTGATTCTTTTGTGAGAAGAAGTTGGTTGAAATTTTTCTCTTGATAAATCTGACAATTTTTTTTCTTCTCCCTCTGCGCTCTGCTACGGCGAGCGAGCGATGGACTATAACTGGCGACTAACGTCAAAAGTGAAGCCATGGCCATTATATTTTAAAGAGGGATAAGAAATCACATTGACTTTATTATTTATTTACTTTACATGGCGTTATTTTTTCTTCTTACTTATATGTTCAGTATTACTCCTTTTCTGTTGCTCCATTTCATTATACTGTAACATTCCCTCGTGCACAGCATTCTTAACCAACTCTCGTAACCCTAATTCTGGATTATCACTGTTCAAAATCAGTTCAATTTTCCTTCTCCTTTTTTCAAGTTCTTCAGAGCTCAATTCTTCTTCAGCTGCTCCTTCCCGGTCATTTTCTAAAGTGTACTTAATTTCATGACCATCAATAGTACCTGGCCTAGGCAAGCTCTCCAAAAATCGACTAGCATTTCCTGCTTTAATATCGTTTTCTTCAACTCGGTCATGAGTCAAACTCTTGAGGTATTTTGCAACTTGAGGAAACTCGTCCTCTTGTTCAATAAATTCACTTGCTGTTAGTCCATCATTATTTTTAATCTTGTAATCTGCATGATATTGCTCTATTAGTGCCTTGGCAGTGGTGAGATCTTCCACATGATGCAAAGGCGTATCTCCTTCATTATCTTGAATATTTATGTCTCCGCCTTTCTGACTAACTAAATACTCTATAAGGTCAAGGTGGCCGTACGAAGCTGCCGCGTGAATCGGAGTGTAGCCATTGGGGTCTTTAGAATTTGCTGTGAAGTCGCCCAGGTTTATAAACCGCTGAACCGATTCTAGATGGTTATCTGCAGCTGCTGTCCATATATTTGAAACCATTTACCTCTAGTGAAGCAAGTAGACCCCCGCCAAAACAAAAAAAAAAAAAAAGATACTGGAGATAATAGGAACGGTTCTTAGATGAGATGAGCTGTTGGGTAGCTCTCTTTATATGATATTAAGCATCTATAAAAAAAGAAATATATATATAAAAAAAAAAAAAAGACAGAAATCAAAGCATTACTTTGGGAAAGAATTGAAACCATGGTATTAAGAAAGAACCGGGGTATTATTTTTCGCTTTTCAATTTCCGTTTTCTCTAAAAGTTAAACTCTGATTCGTTGTCGTTTCTTACCTCCTTGTTATGTTTTTTATTCGCTGGGGATGTTGGATAAGGTGGCTCAACGTGTTTACTTACTTCGTCAGAACTAAGTGACATCTTTTCTTGCTTGGGAACGGTGAAATCCCATTCATTAGAATTCACTTCATCGTCCTCATCAGCATCTGTATCATCATCATCTTCTTCATACTCTTCCGTTGCTTCAGATGTATATCCTGGGTCATGACCGGGATAGGCTGGCTCTTGTCTAGAAACTGAATTCTTATAACCATGTTCAGCGCGACCACGGATCTTGTCGTATGTTTCTGGCCTATCTCTATGGAACCCGTCTTCTTCTTCGTCTGATGATGGATAGTACGTTTGTTCGGCAGTGATAATCTCTCTAACAGGTTTGGGTAACCTGTCTGGACGGTAAAATCGAAGATCAACTCTACCTACAATGTATAGTATATTGATTATCACTTCAAAAACACCCCAGCATACGTACATGAACCACTTGTTTGCTGCGGGACTGGAATACCTTGCTTCTCTTGCTTGGAAAACTACAATGGCTCTACCCATGGCACTAATGAAGATAAGTACCGTAGTAATCACAAGTAATCCCATGGAAATATTATGCTTGAGATCTCCACGTTTGTTGGTCAACCCCTTAACGCTGTGGAAGTGGTGGTGTGTAGCTGCAATCACTCTCGTCGCATGTCTGTGGTTTGAATTCCTCTTCATAAATGATGCTTCAGCTCTTTGTGCTGCACCCTTTTCTGGAAAGTAGAATGGCGCAAAGCTTTCAATCCACCATGGCTGGTAGGTATACCGCAACTCATCCTTCTTGGTTGGTAGCCAGAAACTCAACCCAATCAAAGCAACGGATGTCAAGGAGTAAGCAATAACCAAGATCGATGTAAACTGAACCGTTTTGATCCACGATCTGTACGAATCCCAGCTTAGAAAGTACAAATATGGAACAAAAGAAGCAAGAACAGTCACTGCAATCAAAATCAGCACAAAAGCATAAGTACCCAACATAAAGCCCCAGAACAATCTCCTGGATCCACCGACTGGATGTCTCCATGTAAACAATCTTTGAGCAAGAATCAAGTTGGCCAGCAAAATAACTACTGCCGGAATGATTAAGAACACTTCACTCGCTAATCCCAATGACACTCTAGTAATGTCTTTTGACCATTGTGCTCGTAATGCAAAACCACATATCTTCATTGCTGAATAAAAAATCCAAATGACAGAGATATAAAAATAATGACCTCGATATTGATCTATGGCAAACACGATACAGTGGACAAGCATAATAAAACCGAATAAGGTAGCGAATGTAATTGACGGTGCAAGATCACCTTTAGTTGGATAATTTCCAAATAGATTATTCTGTGTGTTTAGACAATAGTTAACGATTGGGGAAGGTATTATTGGGCCTTGAAAATTGTGTGCAAATTCGACTAGATTTACTATTCCAGTTCCTGTGGATGCACCATTTTCCAAATGCATGATGAGGTTAAGAAGACCTGTTGTCGCTGTGTAGTACTGTTGGTTTGTCATTGTAACAAGCCCAAACGTTTCAACTTCAGTAATTTCTTTTGAGAAACTTGAGTAAATAGTGGGTTTTCTATCGAACGTTTGTCACTGGCGGTACTTTTGCTTATCAATGATAGTTTTCTTTTTGATATATCTATCCTCTAAGGTGGACACGTTATTGGAACCCTACAAAGCCTAATGAGTGAAGAAGAAGAAGAAGAGTAGTTGGTTCCAAAGTGTAAATTCCAAAAAAAAAATAAAAGAGAGAGGGGTTATTTGGTTGTGACCAAATAAATGGCTCAATTATATCACTTGGATATATCATTTGTCAATCCCTGGGCTTTTTCCAAATTTGTATATTCCACTATGCATTGGAACTAGTTGATTTATTAAAATAATAGATCATACATTACGAGATTAAATCTAGAAAACAAAAAAAAAAAACAAAAAAATAAAAGAGAGAAAGAATCGGCAAAGATTTTATCAAATCACCAACTTACAGTTCAGTAGAGCACAAAGTACAGAGCACAGAATGTGAATAGACCAAAGTCTGTAGTAATAAGCTTGCTATTACCCCACCATATAAAGTAACCTTGTTTGCTAAGATGTAAGCCTACCATATACATATCCTTATCTGTTGACTAAATAGCAGTGCTCAAATCAAAAGCTTTCCCCATAAAAAAAAAAATAAAAAATCATTCAATTAAAAAGTGGTATAGCTTTTTAGTGCATAGAATTACATTTAGACCATTACCCAATGCGAAGACGAAAGCAAAAGCCAAAGTAGGTAAGAGAAGAGGATATGAAAGAAGAAAAGAGTGTACAATCTTTGTTGCCTAGTAGAACTTAGTACCTTCTGATGATCAACAAACGTCATCATTGAATTTCATGTTCTAGAGTAAAAACGTCTAGCTGTTGAACATCACAGTTAGAGGGTCAAGAATAAAATGTATAATGGGCAATATTTTTATTTTCTTTTTTTTTTTTCTTATTTTGACATCTTGTTTTTGCGTTTCTCTGCAGATTGTTTTAAATCCGCTGTTACCTAATAGGGTAATAATGCACCTGTCTAGCATAAGCAACATTTTTCACAGACACTTTACAGAGTGATTTCTTTGGCATTTTTCACAATTAGTAGTAGATAGCATGGTTCAGTTCAAGCAGGAGCTAATGAGTTTGATCATATAACTTACTCTGTTAGATTAAACAGGACTGTCATTTTGTAAGCTGGAGCCACTGATCTAGAGCCAGCTAGAGCTTTGAGAAATGTAATTTTTTCCAATTTTTTCACAATTTCTTAAACCCTCCACTTGTTAACAGTTTTAGTTTTTTTTCGCTAAACACTAATACACGTAACTCAAAACAAAAAAAAAAAAGCTATCAACAGATTAAGTGTGTGTATCAGCAGCCTAAAAATGTTTGTGGATGAATCGCAAAAGATACTGCTGAAGATGTTGACCAACATTACCAACTTATTTGTTCTTTCGCTTGCAAAAGTACTCTATAGAATGAGAATTACATATATATACATTGATTTTTTTTGTATTATTAATTTATTGCACACTTTCTAAAAAGGAAACTCGGAGGGTTCATCTTCATTTGGGAAATGTTGATCTTTATACTTATTATTCATTTGCTCTTTTTTGTCACTAGGATAGGGAGGCACCATTTGTCTCTTCTCATCTCGTGTTTCAACACTATCAGAAGATGATGATTTTCCATTCTTTGCAACTGTAAAGTCCCATTCTTCAGACTCCACATCTTCACCAAAGTCTTCTTGTTTAAATGGTGGGTCTGGTTTGAACCCTTTCTGTGGATCTGAAGGCCCAAATGGATCAATCATATTCTTTGGCGACAATGAATTCTTATAACCATGTTCAGCGCGACCACGGATCTTGTCGTATGTTTCTGGC